GTGTTCTCCAGCTGGCCAAAGATCAGGACCTAACAGAGACTGTCTTCTGCTTCCCTCGTGCTTCTCTCAGTGTCTAAATGAAGACTAAAATACTGGAGGTGAGACGCCAGAACAAAACAAAAAGCACAGCAATCAAAGCTTTTAAAACCTCTTCCAATTTTAGGCAAAGTCTACCAGCCATTTACCTGATATATATATTTATAGACTGTAACAAAATGAACACATGTTCTTACTAGCCAGCCCTTAAACATGTCAGCTGTTAGGACAAGAAAAAGTATTAAAACATATTAAATGACTTTAGCTGTTTGTCCTCTAAATATCTGTTTTGTCCTTGAACCAACCCACGTCACAAGGGAACTTCTTCTGTAAAGCTGACTTCAGGTCAGTGTATGTTGCCCCCAAGTGGAGAGACTGTGGAAAAACAAAGAGAAGACAACAGTGATGTAGAGGCAGCAAAGGCTTTTGACGTTTGCCTGAAGATTGTGTTTGTTAAAGTGTAAATAATTTATATCTATAAATCATATTAAACGTGGTACCTTTCATTGGTGCATTCAGTAACTAAGTGCTCAGGTACTTACTGATTTATTTCAGGTTGTACTTTACTTGATACCTCTATTCCACACCATCTGAGTTAATTAATTCATTTGATATTTCAGTTGGTGGACCAACAACAGACCGACGTTGTCATCTTTAGAGCCACTCTGCTAGCATGGCTGAAATAAAAAGAAAGTTGTTTAATATCATCTGATTTGCTTTTTCGCCAACAAACGCAGCTTAAAATGACTATTTTGTTTTTGTGCATTTGTTTCTTCCTGTTTTCTGCACTCCAGTCAGTCTGCTAGTGTTGTTGCTGCCTGCAGCTTCTGAATCTGTTGAGTTCAGCAGGAATCTAATCATATGCAGAAGACGTTTCCTCGAAATGTACAACTTACAGACATCTGAGTGGAGGGTCCACCAACTGACAAACAAAGATATCGCCAGGATAACTGTCTGTCTTCTAAGTCACAGATATGCCAATTACATCAATGTTGGGTTGAAATAAAGAAAAGTGAACTCGACAAATGTTGTTTTTTGTCACATTTTCTTAGAATTCTCAGTGAAGCAACAGGCTCCGTGAGCTGCTTTGAGATTTTGGATCAGATTAAAACAATCATTTGGCTCATGAACAATACTCATCCTACTCCCAGAAGATTCAAATATGTCCATGAAGCCAAAATGCAATAAATGTGCTGCCATTGTTTAAACACTGTTGTAGTTAAATTTAAGATCATGCCGGTTGTTTGTGATGTTTTAGGTTCGATCCAAGAGAAAAAACAGAAATATGAGGGTGGCAGTTTGAACACGCCTCGTGCCAAACGCTCATACATTTGTTCAAACAATAGAGTTAACATGTTGCTTGCATGTTTCAGAAGAGGAGATTGTGGCTCTTTCAGACACTAATTATCACAGACTATTCAATGCTTCAAGATAAGTTGGTATATAGAGTATATATAGTCTGTGAACATTTTAGTAAACTGAAGTTGTATACTGAAGTCAGTTTTGGAGGAGCTGCTGAGCTGCTTTGAAATCCACACTGCTTATGGATCTAAGAACGTGTTAAGATCAAATAACAAAACATGGCCTGAATCTGGTCCATGTAACTCCTCATACTGACATTTTGATACGCACTTACATCATTTTTGAAGACTTCCCCCGCATGATTTATGGAGGCATATAAGGTTAAACTGGAGAAGGTATATCCATTTTTTTGTGTGTTGTGTGTTTCAAATCCAGAACACACAAAATATATTGAATTTATCTTAAACGTCAACACCAACATTGCTTCTTAAAATCCTGTCTTGTGGTCAGTTCACTTTCCTGGCAGTACTTTCTATCCATCCCTCCATCCCTCCATCCATCCCTCCATCCATCCCTCCATCCATCCCCATCCATTGCAGACTACGTTTTCTTCAACTGACCAAACTGTTTTTAAACAATGACCCTCTGCCAAACAGTTGAGGTTTCCGTTTACAGTAAAAGTGGACTTTCAACCATCAGCGTTATTTTTTTCCGTTATAGTGAAATACAAAACTCAATTTTCATGGCCAACAGCAACATTAGTTGTATCATACTGAGAGAGGGTCATTACTTAACATCAGTCTGTTCAGTAAAAAAAAATTAAAAAATAACACGATGACCTAAAACTCCATCAAAAACATGCCACATGCTAAAACCAATTTTCTAAAGGGTTGGTTCTAAAAAAGCGCAGTGCACCCTGGGTAGTTTTTAAGGGTTTCAGATAAGATATTCCAACTTAAAAGCGGTTGTAGCTCACAGAGAACCACGTGTGTTGACGGCATGTTGTGTTTGGTGTTATCAGTTACAGTAAGCCTGCAGTGTATGAATGTGTGATAGGAACTGAGCAAACGTGTGCTTGCCTCACTACGGTCCCACTAGAGATGTACAATGGGTGCCATCTAGTGGCTCACAAGTAGAGACACTAAAACATTTAAGTACTTGGTCAGTTTGACTTGACTTGTATTTTTGACATTGAGCAGTATAGAGTAAAGATTTGAGCTTATACAATGTGATTCAATTATTCCATTATTATATTAGTTCACAGGTATTATTAATTCAGTTATAACGAAGAGTCTGAAAAGTAAAAATGACCTGTGCATCCAACAAAATCTTATTTGTCTTATAATCATTGTATGTGCTATATGGACAGTAGGCCGCTGCACATGTACGTACAGCAAAACAGGGTTTTTCAAGCCTCACACAGTAAATTTCCTGACATTCAATTTGAGCAGAGACGTTGAGCAGCTTCCATTTCTAAGCGTGAACACACTCAGAGCTGCTGCCGATCTCTCCTGTGAGATTACACTATGAAATTCTTGCCAACGTCTGCTGGCAGAAATGTGACTTTGCCAGTCAGTCTAAATCAGACAGACCGCTTCAGTGTTTGTGGTAATAAATGTCCTTAAAATCACATTTTGAGGACTGGAATCCAGGATTTGAAGCAGGTTTGGCAGAGCTTTATAGGAAAGCCGAACCAAAGCAGGGGACTCAACAAATACAAATTACAAGTGTGTTACTTATTCAAATAAATCCCCTCAAGATCTTTTACTTGATGTGTGTACTTTTCATCCAAAATGCCTGTTAAACCTCTTTGATTCAAATCCATTGATTCATGTTCAGATAGTAGAAAGCAACAGAATATTCCACCATTTAACGTGTCACTACTTCTGGATGTTGCTGCAACAATGCTTCTCATTTGAACAAAAATGCTATTTCTTTGTTTATTTTCTTGTAGTTACATCTTAAATTGTATGGTTAACCTAAACACTGGCCTGTCTTTCTCCGTCATTACAAAACAAATGCAAATCTAAAATGCTAAAACGCAGAGCGTACCTAAAAAGATGCCAGCAGTTTTGTGAGATTTATGTCTTAGCCAACTATCAAGCAATTAACATGTTTCAGGATGCAAATAAACAAGTCCACTGTGGAAGAGCAGCTTGTTAATGAAACCGGGGCCAATGTTTGATTTGTGGTTTAATTTGTTCCGCAGGGAGAAAATGAAAGTGAACATCATTCAGTCGAGAAAAAAAGGTTCATCTTGAATGAAAGGTGTACTTATAAACTTAAAGAATAAGGCTGGTGTTATTCTGCACTGATGGAATTGATGTCCTTGTCCTATTTTCGATTTGACTGGTGGGTGGTGCTATTTCCTAGATAGTGCCTTTGAAGTCCCTCAGGTGCTTCTCTCTGACTCAGCTTTCATCGAGAATGTGTGGGTTGATCAGATTTGACTGACAGAGGCAACAGAAGCAAACAACCCTACCCAGATTCAAATGTTCCAAAATAAGGATAAACACATGGAAATACATGACATCACCTTCTCCCAACTGAGATCAGAACAAAACAAAACTAGAGACCATCTCGTTAAGGGATCACACCAGCCTGAGACACCAAAAGGGGCCCTCTACTTCTGGCGCCCTTACTTGGACCACACCCATCTTCAAACTTGATCTTTATTTTGATGTCAACTACACACCTGTAAAGATGTGTGACTGCCTCTTGCACGGTTGCGATGCTATCACAGTCACAATATACAATATATTTTTATACAAAATATAAACATCTGGCAAAGTACTGAAATCACCTCTGTGGTAGTTCCTGCTACAGGTTGTCTCGTCAAACAAATCTCTCATCTAAAATAATTAAACGGCTCTAACTTTGGTGGGAAATGATGTGATTATATAGAATTCTGTTGATTGGGAAAATGTGTTTTCAAGGCCCTTAAGTGAATGATGCAATAATGCGTATGCAGCATTATACAATCAACACGGTGGTAATTGAAGCTATTACTATTCATCCTGCAGTATGTACGAGCTCACCAGATCAGTAAAAAGTACAATATTTCCTTTTCAATTGTAGTGGATGCATCAGTAAAGCAAAAGTACTGAAGTGTAGTACTTGATTAAATGCATCATTACTTCCCATGAGTAACTGCAATGTGTTCCTGTTCAAATGTGTGATGTTGTGCAAAATACCATCTCAAAGATATTTCACTTATTTTATGACTTTATCATTACATTGCAATAGCAATCTTCATCCAGTGGATGTCAGTCCTCCAATGTTTAAAATGTCAGTATTAGTGTACCAGTAGGGACAGCTTGGCCCCTCTGTTGGAAATGAAGTGTAATATATCTACATGTATGCTGTCTGTGTGGCCATAACCTCTCCGATGCAGGAATTAAACATCTGCTCAGGAAAAACAACATCTGTGGAGGGAGCTGACCACCAAGTCTAAACCATCACTTCACACAAAAAAAAAAAAAAAAAAAAAAAAAAAAAAAAAAAAAAAAAAAAAAAAAAAAGTTTCACCAGCAGCGCTCGCTGCTCATCCGATCAGAAACGGAAATAGGTTGAGGTCTTCAGCAAACTACCAATTGAACCACATTTTTGTATCATAAACATGCCACAGTATTTCAAAGCACGACACTTGAACCATGTCCTGTACATAAACACATTTTTATTTAGCCTGATATAGGTTACACATGGGGGGAAAAAACTAAATAAAATTCTAAGAGAACTACTTCCCTTTGTGGAGCTAATGATAAGACAGTTTTAAATCAGCTTATATCCCCACAAGACAGCCGTCAACATTAGCTGCCGTGAGATGTGTGGAATTAAGCATAATCACATGCTACGACTGACCCGAGGCTTTTTTTTTTTTACCTTTCTTCAAAAGGAATAGAAAAAGAAAACATATTCCCTCAGCAGTCTTTATGTACGTTTTCTCACTAAATAATATGGAATGTTATCTTGGAAATGCAGGTAAAAAGCAAACTGTTCTCTGCAACAGCAGAAAACAAGATAAGAAACTGAATGAATAACAAAAAAAAGAAAACCGATTCCCAGAATCCTGTTTGCAAGCTGCTACTGTGTGTGAGGCGTTAAGAAAACACCACCTCAGTCCAAAGTGTGTTCGACGACAAAAATAACTGAAACCTGCCGCCGTGATTCAGTCTTATTATCCTAAAACGTGGATATGAACAGAAAGCACAACCTCGATGCTCAATAGTACAGATTAAATTTACACTGCAGAGAAGCTTTGGAGTCTTATATATTAGGACCGACAGTCATAGACACAAAGAAAAGACTGATGAGGGAAAAGAGGGGGCGGGTCTTAACATTTAACTAGTGTTAGTCTGTTTTCACTTGTAAATTTCACAAAGTGCAAATTTTTCATTTATATTACATCATTACCAATTTCAGAAATTGTTCATTTTCTATTATACAACAATGAAAAATGGTTAATTCCACATTAACCCCCCCCCCCAGCCAGAACCAACCCCCCTCCACATCGGCTATCCATCCGAATGTTTTAAAAAAAGGAATCACTAAATACATGCTGCAATGCGCCCACCAATTTGTTTGAAACCGCTTTCGGCTCCTTGAATCTCTTACAGTACGTTGTTACCGTCAGCGTGCGTTTATAGTTAAAATATATATATTAATCTATCATTAAATAGTATGCCTCTTGCACAGTCTTGCATGCATTGAAGAGCATTTGGGGGCAAGCTGTACGAGGAGGAGAGGCGTGTGGACGGACTTGCTCAGGCTGTGGGCTCCGGGCCGGGACCAGGCACTCTTTCGCCACCACCTGTAAGCGGTTTCTGCCCTTTACTCTCCTTGCAACCACGTCAGTTCAAAAGATGGTTCTCCAGTGTGTTTTTGTTGAGTGAGCATTTTTGTGTGTACATGTGTGTGTGTGTGTGTGTGTGTGTGTGTGTGTGTGTGTGTGTGTGTGTGTGCGGTCCTAAACTCTGTTTCACAGAAGAACTGTGTAGATCACTGAAGTTTTGTTCCAAGCTTTCGTTGTCTGTTCCTAGAAGAAAAACAACAAAACAAATGCAAAAGACGGAAATTCTGTTAATTTCAATGGAATCGCAGAGTACAGCGGATTCTGTAGCGAGGACGAAGTAAATGCACCCAAATCTTTAGCCAAAAGTGCAACTTTACTTAGCAAACTATATAAACTATCTTGACAGCTAGTGTGTCCAAAATGGAAAATGGCTATTATTAATTGTGTTGCACTATTCACTTTTATTTAAACTGCTCAATAACCGAGACATGGTCTGTAGACAGAAGACAGGAGTCAGTGGTGAAATACTGTATAAAATCTGAGCATCTCGCTAGCAAATGAGCTAACGAACTTGCTAACTGAGCGCAAGCAGACTAGATTATTGTACTGATTGTTTAGTTTTTCTGCTCATTTTGTCATTATTTTTGTTATATTTTTCTAAACTATATTAGCTTAGATTTGTTTCCATCTTTTTTGTTATTGTTGTATTTCTCTTTAAGTTGAGTTTAGGTCCGTTGTATAAGCCCGTTGCTTCTTGATCTCTCCAAAAACATGTCTTACTTTTTCAGTATCTGGATTTTATGCACTAAATAAAAAATAGTGTGTCAGAAACTTACCTCGCCTCTGATCTGGTCACTGTATACTCAAACCATAAGATGTTGGGAATCAGACTTGTGTCTCGCACCAGGAAGTACTCTGATATTGGCCTATAAATTAAGAAAACATTAAAAAGAACAAATTATTAAGAGTGGCCATGAAAGACTAGTTGTATCCACTTATTCAGGCTACGGACGACTCGTCTTCCCCTGTGACACAAGGAGGAGGCGAAGAAATTAGAGCACGACTTACCACGCTGCTATTTTGGGGAATAATGGTGTCAGCATCTCTTGTGTGAAAAAGAACCAGAGTATGCCAATCGTACTACCGACCACTCCGCCATAGAAAACCTGGCTCCAGGTGTGATACAACAGGTAGACCCTGAGAAAGAGAGAGAGACAACACAATGTTCAAGAAAAAGTCAATTGAATATCTTTGGGTTCTGGATATTGAGTCAGCCGGAACAAGAAGCCACGAGGACATTTTATAGTCAAGGAAATAAAAATAGTGAAAGTAATGGTTGCAGCCTTACCTGCTGTATGAGACCGATAAGGCCACACCCAACAGGATGATGGACAGTATGTGTCTCCACAGCAGGTCCACACATCGAGCATTGTTCGTTTGATGCATTCTGAAAAGACAGATCGGCGTGAGTTCACATCATGACGTCTACCTCATGGAAAGATGAAGTGAAAGCGTCTAATGAGTGGTAGTCAAAAACATAGATAACAGATATTGAACAAAAACTATATTTGATTAGTTTGTGGACGTTAAACTTCAGCTTGGGTCTACGCCTCTCACAAATAACACAGCTACATATTTCCACCCATGAACGTTCACAAACACCAAGCAAAGACGAGCTCACCTTAAATAAAGGAAAAGAAAGAAGTAAACAACAAAGAACCACATCAGCTGGGAGTGACTGGAGGGCATCCCATAGTCTGTGTGCAGGGTTGTGTGAGTTCCTGCAGAGAGACAACATAACCGGATATAAATACACATTGTCAATATGGAGTACATATCCATACAATCATTAGATTGTTTTGGTCAGGTCAAGCACCAAAGTTGAAAAGTGAAGTGAGTGTCTTTCATTGCTTATCTGGCTGGGGTTGGGGCGGAGCTAAATATAATCAATTTGAAGAATATTTGCATATTTATTTCTATTTTAATTGTTTTGAATACCACTTGTATACCATAAATGTCTCTATTGTCTGTTTTTATTCTGTATGTTTTCTTTCCTGACTGCTGAAAAATATATCTTAATCTCACTGAAACTACACATCTAAATAAATGATTCACTAAATGTCACTGTGTCGTTTATACTGAGGAAATGCCTGTAATTGGCATCTCTCTCTTATGGCAGTTTGGATGTTTATATGATTTTTGCATCAGGTGATGAAGTACCTTGATTTTTCAGGAATTGAACTTAAAATAGAGCCGGCAATTAAGCCGTTAGTCAGTCTCTAGAAAACCAATCGGCCACTATTTTGACAATTGAGATGGGCAACATCGATATACAATCCAATGTGATGTAGAGAAACTAGACAACTGAGCTGGTGATGTCCCGTTACCTGAACAAATAACGTGATTGCATCATGTCAACAGTTTGTTCTCTCACCTGCACATGGGCGTGGCTCTCTGAGAATGTGCTTCAGCAGCCAGTTCACCCCTTCATTCAGGATGAGTCCACCGAAGAAGGAAATCTGTAAACATTATATATAATATAGAAAAAAACAATAAGGTAAACGCATAAAGCTTGCAAACTTCTTGCCTGCCTGACACACATACTCAGCCCCCCTTAAATTGACTTGAAAAGTGATACTCTCTGAAACTTAAAAGTGTGCAGAACTCACCGTGTGCAGCTCCCGTTTAAACACTATGAGTGTAACAAAACCCACGAGGATTGCTATGGGTAGGAGACTGAAGTAGGCCAGCATGTGTCCCGTCAGGTCGCCTAAAAACACAGAGACACTGTCATGAATATGAGACCATCAAAAAAAACACAAATATTAAAGTTATCCAGCACCGGTGGGAGGACACTTTGTGAACCCGGATGGCTGAAATATTTGACTGAATACAAGCAGGAAGCTGCTGCGGTGACGTAGCCAAGCCTTCATCTAACTAATGATCCACATTGTTTTCTTTTGTTAACGCACAGCTCGGTGCAATGTGGTTCATGCTAGTTATACTAATCAGTATGAGGCCAAGGAGCTAGCTACTACGTTAGCCGCAGTCCTGGCTACAATGCTATAAAAGGTGAAATATATGGCTGTTTCCACCATAGTTATGAATAATATTTTGCTGTTCACGATGCTTTAATTGTGTTGAATAATTACTGCAGGACGCGCCGTATTTGCTAACTCCTGAGAGGAGATATTAAAGCTGATAACAAGGCAGCTAACAGGCTAGCTAGCCTTCATTGTGGACATTAGCGGCAACTGCGCATGCGGCTCTGTCTCACTATTTAGCAGTCCGGGTTGCATTCCCCGCTGCGCTCCGACGTTTCGCAGCGTCTCACTATTTGGCAGTAGCGCCAACGACCGTGTCCATTCAGTTACGAGCACACACACGCGCAGTCTCCGAAAATCACGCTAGCGGTTAGCATCTTCGGTAGTTAGAGAAAGACGTTGAGTTTTACATACCCTCCGGGAACTCTACGTGTGTCAGAGATATGGACCGCCATCGAGATGGTGCCGAGCACTGCTCTTCCAACGCCATCTTACCCCGGACACAACCGGGCAGTCCCAGTGAAACGCCCCAGACACGTGTCTAACCAATGGTGAACGGAGCGCTGTGTTCAAGCGGGCCCCGGCAGCGGAGACGCCGTCCAATCCCAGCCGCACACTGAATATGAGATATATAGTCCCCATAGAGAAGAATTATTGAATGAACAGAAAACACAAAAGTCCAGCTCTCCACTGCACTCATTCAAAAAAATAAAGTTCATAATTAGGCTGCTGAATTAATTCAGGCTGTACATTAATTAAAATGGCATGCCATGTATATGCCGTGATATTGCCTCAGTATTTGCCCAGACACATTTTATCTAGATTAAACGATTCATCATTTATAAAATATATAAATGAAAATAAAAAACATCCCTTTTAATTCCCTTTACTTAAAGTGAACTCTTAAAAATGTCCGTTATGGTTTTGATAAGATATTTTGTACTGACTGGTGTTTCTATTATTTTGGCAACCCTATTTATATCAATGAAGAAGCTTAATAACAAAAACAACTCTCTGTGTAATGCAGTATTTAAACACAGCGTAGCCTTTCAACATCACTGGGAAATTTGAACCAATACATCTCTAAAATATGTTCAACAAAGCTGAACATTATAACCTTCATGAGGTATAAGAGAACCACATTTCTCCTCTGTATTGCATGACTATTGTATTAAACCTCATTAGTTTTTAGCTATAGGTGTACCAAATACACTGGGTGTAGCTCACCTGCAAAGCAAACACTAATCATACCTTACACTGCCTATAGGTGTCTATTCACTCCGGGAAAAAACAAATATTGTGCCATTGTCAAAATTGCACAATATCTCACAGCATTAGAGGGTTAGACCTAAATGTTGACATTGCTCATCTCGCAGTAGAAGATAGATAACATGTACTCACCCACACACACAGCAGACAAACTCAGGCTTTCACCAACTCACATAAATTCAGCCACGAATAACAGGACACGCAAAGTAAACAGCAAAAACCTGAACAAACAGACCCTATAAACAAACAGAGTATCTCCAACTGGAAAGAAAACCAAAAGAGGAAGCAGAGACTAATGGTAAAGATGCGTGTGACCTTTGTGTCAGCGTGTACAGTATCCAAAATGTAGGAGGAAATGAAAAGCAGAATAGGATTTAACGTTTTGAGATATTATGCATGTTTCAAGGCCTCCAACATCTTCAAAGCTGACTCTGTTTTAAACGTAATTTATGCATATTTTCTTTGAAAAGTGAGATAAAAATATATTTTTGTGGGGAAGTTTTGTTCAAGAAAAATAAGTGTTTTAAGACAATTCTTAAAGTTTTGGCAAAGCAGTGATGCTTTTAAATGGGGTGCGTTGATTATGTCCCCTGGTTGTGTAGTAGGCCTTTCCACAGACTAAACATTGCCTCGCTGTAGAGATGAGAAGAAGGTTTCTAAACTTGTTCAGCACACTCACAATATGAGTTGTGCACCCTCCACTGGCCTAACATCGAATCACTCCAGAGCTTCCTCTTGTATCTCTCCAACTGACTCTAGTTACTTTGTCAAGGTCTAAATGGTGTTAAGAAGCACAATAATGAATGAGAGTCCTGCATCAAATGTCACACTTTATTTACTGTTGCAGCCAACACAACATGGGCAACAGAAAAACAGATTCGACACGACTTCTTCATGATCTGTACCTCATTATTGCTGGCAATGTTTTAAATAACATTGTTTTTAATTATAATAGTATAGGGATCTTTGTATGAGTAAATTCTGTATAATACACGGCAGTGTTTGAGCCGTCAAAAGACAATCCATTTCTCTCACATATTCATACTTTCTGCTCTTTTTAATTATGCCAGTGCTTCTTATTCATTCATTCATTCTTAAAAAAAAAACCTCTACCACACTCATAAAATAATCTTGTGTTTTAGGAAAGTCGGATTCCTGGCGAGACATGAAATGCAATGAGCCGCCATCAGTTGGGAAAAGGCGTAATAAACGTAGTTTAATAACAAAAAAATAACATTTAATATGGAGAATCAAAATCAATTTACAGTTTGTGCTGGCATTTTAATTTAACAATAGAAAAGACAAAAGGCATGAATAGGACACTTGTAACGTACAGCAGTGAAAAAATATGTCTTTCTACATTTTGGCCGTCTGCAATCCTCATAAAACTCTTTAATCTATAGAATATATGCAAAGTATTTCAGTTCATTCCCGAATTTTGACATTCAAGTCGTTATGAGTTAGCTTCTTTGTAACTTGGATTTTCAAAACTAACGATTAGAGCCTAGATCTAAAAGTTGCAAAGATACACTGATTGATGCATTTCAGAGAATGTTCACATGCAGAGGGATTAATCTCTGGTCATCTCAGGACAGAGAAAAAGCAGACCGTCACGCGAACACAAGACTAAACTTTAGCATCTTTGCTTAGTTGCATTTACCTGCATGAGTCATACTTGATAGTCTACATTAACAGGGCTGAAACTTGGGAGAATGGATTGGACGGGACAAGCAGTGAAAAGTTAAAATTGGAGAATTTGAACATTTCAAACATGGAGACTAAAACAAAACCAGAATAAATAATTTTCATAAAATATTTTTCCAGGAACGATAGTTTCCATAGTGTACAGCATGTCAGCTCTATGTTATCCATAGCATGTCAGTTCTACGATGCAATAAATAATTCAATATATTTGTACAGATAAACTCTTATAAACGGCTTTTACAAAAAGGGTTGTTGGACATTCCTGTATATCTTTCTGCTTTTCTGATAAAGTGCAAAATGCTTAAAAACACAAAGCTGCACATTTGCAAAACAAAACGTCTTCTTGTACAGTAAAAGCTTAATTTATAGAAGGATGTAAATGCTAGACAGAAACAGAAATAGTCCCACAGTGCCGACTCTGAGCAGTATTGTATTGCGACATGTAACATTTCTGAATTTCAGAGATTTGTTGCAACGAGAGCAGGATTTTGAATTGATCAAGACCACAAAACACACACTTGTATGATTATGAAAAACAAATAGCTGCTGATTTGTGTGATAAAGCTAGTGAGAGACCCCAAAAATGATTTGACAGAAACGTCTTCTCTTTTCTCAATCACACGGGCAACGATAATCACACATACTGCCGCTCAAATAAATAATCTTCTCATTGCATTTCATGAAGATAATTTAGTTTTCTTCACCAACCAACCTACAGTCTGCATTACACACATCTGCTTTCACAGTGGTGGAGTAACCAGACTTAGTTTAACTTGGCATCTTCGTCATCTCTATGCTCTATCTTCATCAGTGCACTTATGTAGGTTACAGTCCGACTGTACAATGCCCGGTTCTTCATGAAACAGAACAATATCCTTACTAAGACGAGTAGAATGGCACCGTTTCATTTAGAGGTTGGGTCAATTTTAAAACGTGGCCCGAGATGGAAAATATCAACGTGTGTTTCCAAACAATCATAACACAAAGGTGGTATTAGATAACTGTGTGCACCGTTCTTTCTGACCCTCTGTGGCACTTACAATTAATAATATTCACGTCATCTATTGCCGAAGAAAATCTGATCAGATCACTGAGAATGTCAATCTTTACAAAACTTTAGCATCTTAGCTGGATCAGCGCCATGTCCAAGAGGAGACAGCTGTGGGTCCGAATAACACTTTGGGATAATTAAACTTCAATATGAGTAACATGTTAACACACTTTACTAGTTTTACATGAGAACTTTTTGCAATTCACACAGTCTCTTGGATATTTGACATCTAAGCTTGCGCCATTAAACCACATTGGATTAAATAAATACTTCTTCAGATTAAAGAGACAAATTAATTTAAATCCTCCAAGTCTTCCGCTGGCCAAGCCTGCCAGGAATTATTATGGTTTTTGCAAATATCCTTTCTCCTTTAATATAAAACATACAAACGCACATTTATTTTCACATAATTATGAACACTATGATATTCCACAAGTCAGATGAATGGAAGGTTACAATGCAACCACTGGTTCTCAGAGAGACTCGATCCCTGTGGAGTAATAGTGTAGAAGGCCTGGTCTTCCAGTGTTGGGAGCGCTTTATGCAGGTGTGTTTAGGAATTGTCCACATCACCAAACAAGGCAGAGACAAGTCCTCACAAGTCGGAAGCCCTTAGTGACCCTAGTAGTCTTAGTTGGGCCCTGAAGGGCCCTCTGTGTCTCTTGGTAGGGCCCCGTTGAGCTCCAGAAGGTTGCTGATTCCCAGATACCCCAGTAAAATCTCACTCCGGCGGTGGGAAAGGTTCAGGATGTCCTCGGCCAGGCACTGGGCCGAGGTGAAGCGGACCTTGTCATGGTCAAACATGTCCTTCAGGTACTGCAGGATTTGTTGCTGCAGACGAAAGGAGAGAAATGAATGACATACACGTGACACGGTGAGTCTGACCAGGGCTGTATTAAATAAAAAAATACATCATATTATGTACCCGCATTAAGCTCGTAGAAAGATCAAAGACTAATTTGATGAATCAATTTATTGAAATTGAGTTTCACATTCGAAGCTTCCTTCAAAAACCTGAAAAGAAGCTTTGACTATTGAGGTTGCTAGTGACTCGGTTACTAACTGGGAGCATGGAGTCTCAGAAAAGATGCTAGTGAGTTGCATTATGGGAAATGTAGGATCCAGCATTTTTGGAGCTCGACCCATTAAAACTCAGGATATATCGGCCTCTGCGGTTTACATTTTCACTATTCTGTGTTAAGTCTCTAGCCTCCAATCTTTATGGAGGTTACGATACGGCTCTTTATGAAGCTGGGGAGTTGAAAAAAACTCCCCATTATAGACACTATACAACTGTAGTCCTCCTCATGACGAGTAAACTGAACGTCATGTGTAAAGTACGTGTTGCACCAGTAACGGTACTTGCCTTTCCAATATTGTGTTATAAATCACAGCGTCTTAGTTGTGCTCTCACCTTGAAAATGGTGCACACTTCACTTAGGTGCTGCCTGGATCCCAAAAACCCAAAAGCTAAAACCGGGCTCACATGTTCTGATATGGCATAGAAGTGGGAGATAAAACCATCAGGAACCTATGGAGAGCAGCAAGAGAAACTCAGCTGTCAGAATCAAAGACATACAGGTTGCAATAAACAGTTCTCAATCTTTAAATTTGCTCAAACTCACCATAAGAAGACGCCTTTTTGCTTTTAGGACAGACCAGCAAGCAGTTGCCAGAGCCTAACAGACAAAACAACTCTGTTATTAGAGTAATTTGTAGCTAACACGTCGGTGGAATAGTCAAGGAATTGCTGTGTGTGTGTGTGTGTGTGTGTGTGTGTGTGTGTGTGTGTGTATAAATCTACCGTCTCTTTAAAGCTGTCGGAGAGCCAGCGGTTCCTCAGCACAGCCACCACAGAGGACGGAGGGTTCTCCAGGTCTTCAAAGGAGTCCATCAGGATGAAGTCCAAAACGATGTCGAAAAAGTTCATACACACCACCTGCAGAGACACGAGAACCCCCACAGTTCATTGTACTACATGCGAAAGGGATTAGGTTTTCTCTAAACACGTTATACTATATATACACAGTTGTCATGTACATAAATACTGTATATACATGTACACAGTCTGTTTCAATTGCCCTGCTGTTTTCACCCTGACTGTTTCGCTGTCTTACCCTGAATTTATAAAGCGACGTTGAGTGCATTCTTTACATAACTTTGTACCTTTAACTTCTGAGGAAAACTTTAATTTCTGATGCATAGTATTTGTACTTCCTCTGTGAGGCATATTGCAAAGTATCCGACTGTAAACAAATGTGGCACTTAAATGAAGATCGATGGTTTGCCAGTTACACAACCGCCAACAGTGTTACACCAAGTAAAGTGCAGAGCGAACTGACTGTTGCCTGTATTTCAGTTAAAGTTTAATGCAGGTTAGCATGAACTTGAGATACCCTGTGCTCAAAGCCTGTTCCCATGAATGAATGAACCAAGCAGGCCGCATGCTTGCAGGTAGAACAATATTGTTGGCAAAGAAAAAGACACATGAGATGAAGGACGGGATTATTCACCCCTCGACCCTCAAGCTCCATCTTTGTGACGGGCCACGTTTCTTCCCTCTTGGTGTAAAGCAGCATGTCTTCGTAGCTCTCCAGGAAGGCTTTGGGACTCTGCATTAAAGCAACACAGGAACTAATTAGTTTCAGCTGCGCAAACATGTCCACAGAAGCAGAAGCTTGTCTTGCTTATCCAAACAGGACGAGTTAATAAGTGAGGATCCAAACGAACAGTGTTTACCTTATTTGCCTTCACCATTAACCCTACAATCATTTGCTTCCCCGTCTCCATGAAAAACGTGCGATGAGTTTCATCTAACAGCAGGACCTGGAACAAACACAAAGTCATTTATAGAATAATTTGGTTCAAAACCACATTTAACCTCCACAGTTAACCTGAAAGTGAATCATTTACCTCGGGCGGACCAGGGAGGGATCACTCTCATGGACCAAAATGAAATAAACTGTCAGAGCTACGCACCAACTAAAAACACAGCTTCACTTCCCGCTGTGCAATTGTTATCAATAATTGCAATCATCTAAACAAAGAGAATGATCTCGTAGACAACATGGGTAAGTCTTAGGAGCTGGAACAGACCTGGAATGCTTGTCTCACACATTGAAGCTTGGCAAGGAAGTCTTGGTCACCAAAACATTCAAGTAATTCAGTCCTGGTGAAGAAGAGAGAGAAAAGGTATGAAGCTCCGTGAAACATCGACATGTTATCGTCTTGTGCTGTTGATACACAGCAGGGAGGGTGAACCAAAAACAACAGACACTCAATGCTCCATAGAGCCGCGGTTAATTGGAGATCCAGGGTTCCTTACTACGAACGACTCCTTTGATATTACAAATAATAATGTAATACACTTAGTTTTAAAATATTGATTCATACAGCTTTTAATATTTAGGTACAGACGGTACACTTCACAGTTACCTCAGAGACCTATAGCACACTTTGCCCTCCCGGACCAGAGACAAGGCTTCTTCATAGAGAGCTGCTGGTTTATGTGGCTGGTAGACGTCTTCTAAAGACAAGGCATCGAACAGCTGCACGGACAAAACACACACACACCTCAGTACACAGTCCACATAAACTGTTTTACATAGAAAAACAGCAGATAGAAGAGTACTTGTATGTGTATTTGATACAAATACTAGGGAGCTACTTGGAATTTAGGGACTACTGTATATTTAGGTTTCTGTCAGTCTTTAGAGAGCAGAGGAAAGGAACTAACCTCTGCAGCCGAGAAAAAGGACTCGTCAGAGGTAACAGTGGTCGCATCATCATCATCTCGCAGTCTGTGGAAACTCTCCACTTGAGGCAAGATCAGAGTTCCTTCACTCTCTGCCAAAGGAACACCACAAACTCTGACTGACAGGGCAAGAACCAGAACACATGCACTTAACAGAAAAATAAAACGTGGGAACCCACTTTAAAAATCAGGAACTGTATTACTACTGAAGCACACCAACACTGTATCAATCATAAACCATAAAAAAAAAAAACATATGTTTGGCAGCTCGTTACACCTCAAACTCTGAGTCTGTTCTGTAATTTTGTTCTCTTTGATTAATATCATTCCTCTCGTTCTTTTAAGGTCACACATAAGCTCTTACCAAAATCTGCCAGCACGCTGTCTGTTGGGATACTGCTGCCAAAGTCCTCTTGTAGGTGGTACGCCCTGTGCAGTAGTGTCTCCAACTTCTCAGCAAACACTTTATTACGGGTTTCAGCCTATAATGAAGCAGAAAACAATTGTACTGCATTGGTGCTGCGTCACAGACACCATCACATGTACAGAAGGCGAAATCTGTACTGTACTTAAGTGGAAAGTAATCCAACCATGTTCAAGAATATCATGCTGTCTGCATTGGTAATTATTGTTTGATAGTTACCATTGGAAAGTCCTCACACTTCGCCCCCTGCAGAGCGAGGCTGTTGTTGCTGCTGGAGGTCGAGGGGGTGTGATGGCGAATATTCAGGGCCTGTTCCCACTTCCGTAGAGCTTCCTCAAAGAGCTCCATCCCTAGCAGGAAGAGAGCGATAAGACGTCACGTTGTGAACGGGAAAATCTGAACTTTGAGCAAAGAGTGACTGCAAGTGGCACCAAGCTGCAGGTGTTATTTCTTACATTTCCTACTTTATCAAATATATTGCTAAATTAAGTGGCCCGAGTTTCTACAGTTCTAAAAGGGGGAACATGGAGCAGAATTCAAATAGTTCATGCAGGATAATGCAAATATTAACCAACAGCACCCTGGGTCCAATAGTCCAACATTACCTGATAATAGCCTAGATTATCCCCAAATTACCAACAGCAGAAAATGAATGCCGACTTCCCACAATGTGGGAAACGCCGTATTATAAGCATGGCCACCAAACATGGTAAAAACACACACAATAACTTATACATATACTCAAGATACAAGTCATGCAGCATTTGTTTTTTAAATTAGTCACCAATAACGGATGATTTTGTTTCACGATCAATTGTTATTACTGACTAAAAGTACTGAACATATACTAAGTGGTAAAGTATAACTATAACACTATATCTAAGGCAACACAGCAAAATATCTGACATACATCCTCTGTATTACCTTTTTATAAAACCAGGAGTAATAGTAAATACCTACCCAATATATAGAGATTCTCTGCATTTACATCCTCTATTGCCCCTGACTCTTCTACCACAGGTTCTGCCTCCCAGGGGGTGGATGGATTGGCTGACTGATTTGGAGAGTTTGGGACCCGTATCTATGCCAGAAACACAAACACACCATGACACATTAGGGAATGTGGGAAAAAGAAAACGGTAGCCAAAATGATATGGAATTAGTTGTAAATTGTCAAACTAACAGATGCCAGGCTGTGTGAGGAACTTGAGTGTTTACTAGGGGCCAGGGAAGAAATTCCACTCATGGTGTCATTGCTCCGATTGCTGGGACTCATCATCTGTCGGCCAGTAAACGGGCCTGTGGAGAGAAAAACATTCCCTTGTATGCATATTTCTCAATAGATGATACAAAGGAAACATATAATTGGAACTTTTCCTCCGGGCGTGAAGTCATGCACACCTCTCTTAAATGATGAGGGTCTTCCCGTCTTCATCAGCGCCTCAGGTATTCCCACTGTCTTCTGGCCCTCCTTCCCTTGTGTCACCTGCTTCCTTTTCCTCCCCCGCCTTTTCAGCTGATGAGCGGTGAGAGCCAGGGCGACACTGCCCAGCGCTGTGGCAAACAGCACCTTCTTCAAGTTCGGGGAAAGCTTCAGCTGAGAAAATATGGACTGAAAGCAGGAGAGGCAAATGTAAGCGGACATAAAGGGATCTACTAAACATTAACTTATCCATCGTCGATAGTGAATAGCGCATCTGTTTAGAGCTGTAAAACTTTAACTGTATGCAAAGCGGTTTACCTGCCCAAATGTGGAATACAGAAACACCGGTATCTCTGCTACAGTCATGGCCAAAGCCTGGGCGATGGACATCCCGTCTGCTCGTTTGAGTGACATCTCAGAAATGTAAACGCCTTCACGTTCCCCCTGTACAAGGTGTCGTCTCTGCTCTGAGATCAGCCAGCTCAGGGCTTGCTGACGAACCGCCTATCGTCATCCACTCCCGAAGCTTGTGCTCCACGCTCGTCCAATGGCTGACTGTAGATTTATTACCCTATAATAAATAAGACATGAGGAAATTATCAGAGTGTGGCGGCCTCCTCCTGCAAAGCAACATTATATTGCACAGGCCTTGTAACAGATAAAGACATCACACAGTTATTGGATCACTGCAACAGTGCTGTTGGCTCCAGGACAACATGTCTCGAGACACAAAATCAACTTGCAAAGGTCCATGGTTTAAGCTGGGAAAAATCAAGCTCACATCCACTGTTCAGCAGCAGAGCAACTTGACATGCTGCCTGCTACTTACCTACATACACTGGCTGGTATGCAGCCAGTTCACACACATACTGTACGTGACAAACAGCAGGTGAGGATTATACATGAGTTCTCCTCTTTCTTTGGAGCCAAACTGACTAATACAATAAACTGTGTAAACAATGTTTTTGCCAGTTACACAAGCCACATTACTGATAATGGTACTGCTAGCTGAAAGACACTTGACTGTAGGTGAATAGCAAGCTAAGCAGTTAGCCCGTCCAGGCAGCTGAGACCACTTATTTTTATTTTAAACAAGTCTAAGCTCTGTTTTTATAAATGTGGTTGCACTAGCAAGCAAGCATGAGCACCCACAGGCGAGCATGCTAACGTTAGCTAGCACACTTAGCTAACCTAGCTCAGCCTCATCTGTCAGTTGACAGCGTAGCATCATCCGGTCAACCACACACTGGCTGTGGGGCTTTGACTTTAACACCTCAGAGGCTTCAGCGGCTCTGTGTACAGCTAACCAGCGGTACGACTAATAACATAATCCGTCACATAGGTACATACCGAGGGCACCAGGGAAGGGCATTCCTGTGTCACAGTCAGTGAAAGCCGCACACTAGCTTTTCTGCTCGGAGGCGGGGCTTTAAAAATGTATGGATACTGACGCGGTCACCCAACCAATGGGACAAGGAGTACAGAGGTTTGCTTTTTTTCTTGACCAATCGGATGGACGTAAAGAGGGAAAAAAACAGTTCGCAGATTAAAGTCCGGCTTTCATCACACTTTAAAAAATAGAAGGTAAAAACTGTCAGAAAGGTTCCCGTGGTACATAAAATTACATTTTGGCCAGTATTTTGCTCATATTAGTACTCTTTTTTTGTGGTGCAAGGACTTGCCTTTGTCATGGTAATGTTTTAAGAACAAGTAAAGACGTTCGCGCTCAGCCTTCGCAAAGTATCGTAAATTTACGAGTGGTGCCTGAAGGCGGCATTGCAAATTTGCCCTGGTGAAAGTGCTAGTGAATCACAGTGATATAAAGACATTGTTTCTGGTTGTGGCATATGCCTTTCAGAATAAAAGTGCAAAAATCACATAGGTTTAGGTGCGTATGTCTTACGAGGTACTTCTCAGATCATATTCTATTTACTGTAACGCTAAGATTCAAGGCCATGTTTTTGTATAAATGCATACTATGTATGCGAGTATGTTTGTGTTGTGTGTGTTCAGATCGTTCAGATGACACGTTTATTTTGAAAAAGGCGGATCGGAAGCCACGGTCTGGATATAGAGGAACACATTATAGTCAATTATTAGACAGGGCCTTGAAGTACTGTGTCAACACACCGGCTCAGATAACACTAAACAACTGGATGGATTTCAGGTGATAGTTAATTCAACATGCCGACTAGAATAGCGGAACAGACCGCAAGGTGATGGACGTTAAACGGAAAAGAAACGGATCCTGGATTTAAGAGCACTCATCGGAATTTACCGAGAGCAGCCATTCATATCTGTGAATATGAATCCCCATGAATATGACTCCTCCATGTCTGGGCTTGTCTCAGTCTCGCCGCTTCTGCCTCAAGTTAAACGGCAGGAAAAATGAGCGTCGCCGGGCTTCCTGTAGCAGAGCTTTCCCATGGGTCTTGATATGAAACATCAGGTACGAGCCGGTTATTTAAAGTATAAAATAATAGATGGATGTACTGTACGTTAACGGATAAACATGCAACTCCACCCCCTGATCAATACAGATGTTCTGGCTCTGTCTGCTCAGCCTGAGCCTCCCTCTGTTGTTTTGGTTTGGACACGTGATCACACGGGACGGTCTGTCTCACGTTCTGCAAAGCAACGGACTCAGGGGCTATATGAGGATCACGCCCGGCAGGATGGACCAGGTGAGAGGGAGAGAGAGACAACTTCTGGATTTTAAAAGAAATGGTGCATAGTTACAAAATCATTTCACTACAGGGTAATAGCAGACCACCTCAAGGTGTCACTCAGAGAGAACCAGGACATTCTGATGTAGCATTTCAAAATGAAAGCCCTTCAAAATCTCATTCATGAGCTAACTTCAAATCACATTCATAAAACAATTGGCGTTACAAAAAATACATAGTCATATAGAATCACACGGCAAATGCTTTCACATGACACCATCACCTGTATAAAATCCAACTGTTGTATTGTTGTTAGATACACTGAGAAAATAGCCTACCTGGCACAGGCCCAAGGGCCCAAAGTGTCAGGTCCACCCTGGCCTTTACCCACAACATGTCACTCAAAGATACACGCACCAACCAGGGAAAGACTAAAAATGACCACAAAGAAACATAATACGACTACAAAGAGACATAAAAAGACTACAAACAGATGCAAAGCAGCTGCAAAGAGACACAAAATTACCACAAAGTCAACTTTGGTTACTTAAATCACACGTCAAATATTATTATGTACATATGTACATCAATACATATGTAATTCTGGCAGCATTACTACTGAGATATAATTCCCTATATGACCTAAAACACCTTTATCATTCTGCCCTATTTCTCTACAGATCCTTTACATGCACTGCAGCCAGTGTGCCTTGGTCTCCAGCTCAGGTCAGATGTTCGGAGCTGGCGTTGGAGAAGAGATAGACAAAGTCGGATGCGTGATCCGGATGAACAATGCACCCACACAGGGGTATGAGAAAGACGTAGGGAACAGCACCAGTGTTCGGGTTGTCTCTCACACCAGTGTTCCCTTGCTGGTAAAAAATGAGCACTACTATTTCCAGCAATCAGCAGACACCACATATGTGTTCTGGGGTCCTGAGAGGAACATGAGGCAAGACGGGAAAGGACACGTCTATAATACTCTCCTGAAAATAGCAGAGAAGTACCCAAAAGTCAGAATCTATGCTGTGACAACAGAGAAGATTCAGTACTGTGATGGCGTGTTTCAGAATGAAACTGGGAAAAACAGGTACAGTATGAGTTTAGAGTCCCAATCTAATGAATGAAAGCCATGAGTGAAGCACTGTTTGTTTGTTTTCCATGTGTTTTAATAAACCAAAGTTACAGCCAGTTGTGGAGGAAGAATTAAGTAAAATTACTTTTACCATACTGTAAAAATACAAGTAAAAGTCCTGCATTGAAAACGTTACTTAGCTAAAAGTATACTTAAATGTACTTTATTATTAGAAGTGCACAATGAAGAGAAATGTCCTCTGTGAGTTGCCAATGAATTTTTCTATCAATCTGCTAATTAGCTGTTTTAACTGTCAATTTCCGTTTGTCACAGCTCCTTTCAAAATAAGAAGCTTCCATGTGTACAGGAAACAACAAAATAAAGCCATAGAACAAAATACACTTACAAACGATTTTTTATAAAGATCTTACAAAATTAGAATTACTAAAGTAATATACAAACTAATGATGTGATGTGCAGTTAATGACTGGAACCAGGCTTTTATTTTGGTCCTGTTAGAGTTTTAAATGAGCCTTTTAAGAACAAGTGCCTGCTGTCTCTCACTCAGAATGAAGACGGGGGCGTTTCTCAGTACTGGATTCTTCGCAATGATTCTGGCTATAGATATGTGTGACAGCATCCATGTTTATGGAATGATCGACGACAACTACTGCAGGTGAGACATTTTACACAATGACACATTTTATCCTAACTCGAGCTCCATCTTCTTTTTAAGTGTCGTAAATAACCGTTACCGAACTCCGGTACTTTTCTGCCCCTGACAGTCGAGCCAATCACAGCGTCGTTCCTTACCATTACTACGAGAGGAACCGAATCGACGAGTGCAAGATGTACAGGTTCCACGAGCACACACAACGCGGGGGACATCGCTTCATCACTGAGAAGGCCATATATGCCAAATGGGCAACACGCCACAAGATGGAGTTCAAACACCCCTCTTGGAGCCTCTAACGATGTTTAAACTCAGAAGATGTTGAATGTACAGTTGTAATACAGTTTTTTCTGGCTTTTAGTCTTCTTTACTAAAGATTTTGAGAGTTTTTAAATAGAAAAAATTAATTCCATTTAATGCTGGCATAGTGGATAAAATAATCCGCAGCCATAAATATAAAATAATGCTTTAGATGTACCAGATGTAAAAGTCAGCTGGTACCACTGTCAGTATTACTGAACACTTACCGTTATGTATAGCCATATATCAGTATACTGACAAAGCATTAAGCCACTAAACTAGAACGTAAAACCAGTTTATACCAAAGCTTTTTTTTATACCCATGCCTTGACTTTCAGTCTTATTTTGCACATGTATTCAATAACGATTTGATGCTGCAACCAGGCGTGCAGCTACAATATGCACCTTTGTTTAAGGCTGCAACTAACGATAACTAGCTGCCCTTTATTTTCTCAATTAATCAGTTCATCATTTGTTCTACAAATTGTCAGAAAGTAGTAAAAAAGAAGACTTTTTTTAAGAAGACTTAGAAGACTAAGAAAACCAGCAAATAATCCCATTTGAGAAGCTGGATCCAGAATAATTTTTTGTGTGCATTTTCGCAGAAAGAAAGACAAAAAAAGCTGCTGATTATTTATCTGTCAATCAGCTGATTGATTCATTGAGTAATTGTTTCAGTTTACTTTCCCTGACTGCAACCAGTTACAGTGTTGTAATGCTTGAAGTAGTAGTAGTAGTAGTTAGCTTCTGATTTCAGCAATACATTTTATTTTAATGTTAACGGTGTCCACATGTTTCCATTGGGAGCTGAGTGCCATTTAACTCAATGAGAGATCATGCAGTGTGTAGTTGTGGAGAATGTGGGGATGGAGCGCAGTAACATATGTAAACGTGATGGCACGTATACGAACCACAGAGAAGTATTCACTGCAGAGAGGTCGACAGACCACAGTCCTCTGATATACAGCCCACAGCTTCAGTGGCCAACAAACAGTATTAAAAACAACGAGCATGATGGGAAAATACAAGCAGTTCTTTGTGGCTGACGGGACAAATGCGGTTTGGTGTTTTGTTTTAAGCATAGGTTACTTTCCCTTCGAATTTCTTCTGCTGGTTTACAATGAAAAACATAGCGCTGCCTTTTTCAGTCACGTAATCCTGATTTTGTGACAAATTCCAAAGACTGTAATATTATTTGCACTACTGAGCAAACTACTGTGTCAAAGTATTTCACGGTAATTTACATTTCAGACCGGAATTGTTTGAATTAATATGATTATTGACTTTTTGGGAACCACAGATTTATGTGGTGAACTGTGCAAAGTACAAACTTGAATGTAAACTTGACCACTGGTTACTGCAGATGGGTGCAAACATGAATAAATCTGCTGACAGTCTGCATGTGTGTGAGCTCGACTTTGAGTGAGACTATATACAAATGGTATTAATGTCTGTCATGTTTGAACCACTTGAACTGTGTCTACACATGGGAATGCAGTGAAAGGCTCTACGCACACGTGGTCCACCCACACAGGCGTTGTCACTGATTAGACTTCTTGGCCGGACAGTGAAAAGTCAAATTGAGTGGTGCGTGTCATGCTATTTTGTAAATTCTAAGGATTTCTTACCTTATGCAAAAAACATTCATATTGAACCTCTTCATATACAAATCAACCCAGATTTAGTGTGAACCTCTGAATTTGCAACCTGATGGAAAATGTACGGCCCTTTTAAGCTACAAATGGAGATATGGTGTACACACGTAATGAAGTTTACCCAGAACATCGCATAACAACCTTATTTTATAATCCATTAAAATCCACCTTTAATCAGGATAAACCTATTTTCTGACTAACAATAATATCATGGATGTGTACCTGACAAATATTTCAGATCGCCAATGTAATACTTTGTCAAATACCTCAAATTAATTTAGGAGACGTAAATATAAATGATTTGTAATGATTCTTCTCTTGGATATCGAGCTCATGCATTTTTTTTATTATAGTACAATTTTAAAGGGAACTTCGAAATAACCCCCCCCCCCCCAACCACCCACGCGCACATCACCGTGCTGCAGTGGGAGACGTGATGATGACGTCAGCTAGTGGCGCAGGAAGATGGGGTACGAGAGGGAGATAAGAACGAGAGCCGACATCGAGACCGCAGAAGGCCATGAAACGGTAAACACCGGATTAACACTGGTGCTAACATGTCATGTTAGTTAATATCTTAATCATATCTGTTGTTGTTAAAAAAAGAATCAGTAGATGTACGTCAACACCGGAGGAAGAATGGCTGCGTAGGATGTTGTTTTTTTTATTTTGGTGAACGTAATAACATTTATTGCCTTTTATGTATATAGCGTTAGATAAATATAAGCTTAAATAAAGATAACGATCGCTGGACTACTATGAGCATATTTCATAATGTCCTATGCAGCCTAGTGCGGAAATAGCTGTGTACGCTTTATTGTTATAACATCGGTGTGATGCTGATGCGTAAAACTCATTTATTTGAATACAACATTTGATATAAGCCGTGCCATAACATTTGCATTACATGATTCCAATCAACAGTTTATTTGTCTCGTCCCGGACAGATATGAGGACAGACGGCCTCCGCCAGTGTGTTGGTACACATCCTGACCAGACAGCATGGGGCTGAAGATCAGCAAGGTAAGAAAAGACCACACAGTTCGGTAAAGTTGGAAAGATATACAGATTTGGACTTCCCGGATCAATAACTTGTTAGAAACGTGTTTTTTTTTAAGTCAAAAGCACATTTTTCTAAAATAGCTGTTGTAGTATAACAAGGAGGAGCCCATTAATGTATGAAGTGATCTTTGTCACACTACTTCATAAGTTATTAAATATTTTTCCCAATAAAAATTCACCATAATTAGTCAAAAGCACATTTTTCTATAATAGGTGTCGTGGTATAACAAGGAGGAGCCCACTGATGTATGAAGTGACTTTGGTCAGGCTACACTTCATAACACAGAAGCTATTGAATATATTGGTCTATGTCTTTTCGCCATTGCACTTTGGAGACGGTCCCCGCGCACTCGTCTCACAACACATTGAGACCGATGTTATTCGTGCAGTTCTGAGGACAGTCCGTTTAGATTAAACTAAGGTTGTAGCTCGTCGTCTGCCTTATACGGTTACAGAGAGGCATCGTTTGTCTTTTAACAACTTTTTGCTGACGAGTTATTGATCCACGGAAGTCCGAATCTGTGAATATCTTTACAACTTTACCGAACTAGAAATGACCAAACAACTGTAGGGTGTGGTGCTCAGACCTCTTGCCCTTCATCACCAGTATTATCGTTAATAGTATTATTGGGTAAAGGAGTATTACATCCATGCAGGTAGTATCATTGTCTTTATTGTTTATTGTTTATTGTAGATGAAGTATTTAGATCCTTTACTAAGTAAAAGTACTAATATCACACTGTAAAAACACCACTCTTGCATTGAACATATTATTTAGATAGAAGTATTTGTCATCGGGAAAATGATCTGTTACTGTTATATATAACATTATATTATTAGTACGCATGCCTTAATGTATAAACTGCATTTTTAGTTGAGGTGGAGTTTTTAAAATATCTTATGTGAAGCTGCAACCAATGATTATTTTCATTATTAATTGGCAGATTAGCTTCTCAATCGTTTGGTTTGTATGTCCATGACTCAGAGCCCAAAAGTGACAATTACTTGTTTTGTCTGACAAAAAGTACAAAGCCCAAAATGATTCAGAAGGGTGGCTAAGTGGTTATAGCTAATGCATGGATGGATAATTCATGACATGGAAATGCTGAAAGGAAGAAGCTGAAAAAGCTGTGGTTGACATTTCTGGATGTAAAGCTCAAATATATAAAAGTATATATCTATACTATATAAAGTACATACTATTGGGTAGTTAAATATGCAAAAATGCATCATATTTTATGTGCTCTTCATGTTTTTTTTAATGTAAAATCTGAATTTGTAAAGTAACTACTGCTGTTAGATAAAGTTGTGGAGTGAAAAGTACAAGAATTCCCTCTGAAATGTATAGATTGGCTATATATGGTATAGCAGACCGTATAAAGTGGCACAAAATTATAATTCTTGTGCTTCGTTCAGCGCTGTTGTTTTCCACTGCAGGGACAACAGAGCCACAGGCTGGTGATCTTCGCAGCCATCTTTGTCCTGATGACACTCCTCATCCTGTACGGCTCCAACAATGTCAACGAGTCTGTATATGCTCCCTTCCATGTGGCTACAAATTATGCCATCAAGGCCACAGATCTGAAGACGTGGTCCGGGAAAGACGGTTATGTGCCATTTCACGGGAACAAGGTATTTAATAGCTCGAACGCAAAATAATGTGTTTTTATGACGTGGAAATCCACATATGTTTAGATTACTATGTCATTGTGACTGAGACGATGTGTTTCTGTCACTCAAGGACTGCTTTGAATACTAGTGTACATGTAATTTGATTGGCTACTATACAAATCAGTGAAGGATGCAGCAGAAGGGAAAAGGTACTGTTGCACTAACTGAATGTTTCTGTTAACTTCAGTACTCGAACAGGAGTAAAAAAACACAAGATAGCAAAAGGAAGTTGTACACCAATAGAAACTAAACGCATGGACCTCCACATCACAACAGTAGGACATTATATGTAAGACATTATTAGGCGATTATTTAAAATGAAGAATAACCTTTAATAGATGAGTCACTCAAAAGCAAACTGTGTGAAAATGTTAGTGCAGTGTTGTCATGAGAATTCTCTCCAAATGAGCCAGATAACACATTCCTGTTCTGTTTCTCAGTGCGTTATCTGTTTTCCATCTGCCTGTTTGTCTTTATCATATCCATCATTATACATGATGGATTTATTAATAAATAATATATGCTTGTAAATAAAAATGAAAGCCGAAAGCATTCAATTAAACGCATCCATTATTTACAAAGTGGGAACTTGTTGCTGTGAGTGAATTGTCGTTTGTAAGCTCCGTTAGCGGCTCTGTGCTGCTTTGAGCGAAATCTAAGCATGTTAGACCATGTTCACTCACATTTGCTTATTAGTATTAAAAGCAGTTTAGAGCAGAAGCTGAGGAGAATGTTTTAGTATTGCAAGTATTTAGTCAGAAACATAAGTGATTTCAATTCACCCCGGGGGGAGCATGAATGTGTGTACCAGATTACATGGCAATCCAGCCACTAGTTCAGTTTTAGCCACTAGGCCAGGGGTCACTAATAGGCGGACCGCGGTCCGGTTCCGGACCCAAACGCCGTTGTATGCGGACCCGGATCTAAAACCGATAATTGATAATTAATAAATTCTAACAGAGCACTTCTATTTTTACCGGCACAGCTTTTCCAGCCTTTACGGCACTCGGTCAGAGGTCCAGGAAACACACCGACCAATTACATGTGTTGTAAATCATATATGTGTGTATTCCTATAAGCTTTGCAACTCCAGTGACATTTGCACACACACAAGAGAGAGACCCAACAGTCGGAGAAGTACGTGAGTCAGAGTTATTTCACATAGTGTTCTCTAAGAAGAGACATGTGGACCAGAGAGACCAGAGAGACCAAGAATAGACAGACTCATATATCTTCATTCTTCCTACAGGCAGTTCAAAACCAGTATGTCTCATATGTTCAGAGACAGCGTGTGAAGCGTCACAGCGCTGTTAACTCAACTTCCAAATTCAGCGATGTCAATATCACATCAACATTTTGTTTTTAGAAAACAAATACACAATTGGGGTAGGGGAACTCCTCAGCTACACTAATGATGGACTGTATTTACACCTTAAATGTTTTTCATTTCAGAGTATGAACCTACGCTGTCAGAAATGTGCGCTGGTGACGAGCTCCAGCCACGTCCTGGGCAGTCGCGCAGGAGAAGACATCGACCGCACGGAGTGCGTGATTCGTATGAACGACGCTCCCACGTTGGGGTACGAGACTGATGTAGGGAACCAGACCTCTCTGAGGGTCGTGGCCCACTCCAGTGTGTTCAGGGTGATCCGGAAGCCTAATGAGTTCCTACAGAGGCCAGACAGCAGCCCTGTGATCATCTTCTGGGGACCCCCAAGCAAGATCGGCAAGGAGGGCAAAGGAACGCTGTACAGGTTGATCCAGAGAGTCAGCATGACCTACAACAACTTGTCTTGTTTCAGTATCACAGCCAACAAGATGCGCAGATTTGACAGTCTGTTTCACAGGGAGACTGGACGAGATAGGTGAGTATTTAGGGAGCGAGTGAATCATATTTTATTGGGTAAAAGTCACTTTTCTTTCTCCAATATATTTTGTTTTTCTCTGCTCAGACAAAAATCTCACTCGTGGTTGAGCACAGGCTGGTTCACCATGGTCATAGCCATTGAGATGTGTGATAGCATCAAAGTATACGGGATGGTTCCACCAAATCACTGCGGGTGAGTAATGATGGCACTAGTCACCCTATGTAGACTCATTAAAACACTATAAAGCCATCAGTCGACTCATTATCACAGATAAGATGGTTGTGAATTAGAATATTAAACCCCTATTCTTCTAGGAAATCCAAACCTGGATCCAGGAAGATGCCCTACCACTACTACAAGCCCAGGGGTCCTGATGAATGTGTGACATACTTACAGAATGAGGGCAGCCGGAGAGGGAACCACCATCGCTTTATCACAGAGAAACAAGTGTTTGCACGCTGGGCAAAGCAGTACAACATCACCTTCACTCATCCCAAATGGTTTTAGACTTTTGTGAAAACCACAGAGAGATCCATCAGTGCTGAGAGAGGCCTCGAATGAGGCTTCAAAGAAAGCACATGATGAAATACTGCTGTTATCAGGAATAGCCACAAGGATGAAACATGTTTTGGACCGATAGACTGAGAAGAGTGCAGGATCTCAGTTTGGAGAGGAATTACTATATTGTGTATATTCCACATGGACTTGTAGTGGCCAGCAGACGGGTGTTTTCGTAAGTAGGAAAGAAGATGAATTTAAAGAAGAATTTTTACATGTTTGTAGTATTTTTGTTAATATGTATTAAAAAGTCATTATGTTTCCCATGGGAAGAGGGAATTATATCAGCAGGCATTCTCATTAGATTGGACTAAGTGGCCTACAAAACACTATCTCAGCTAGAGATTAGATTATTCTCTACAGTAATTGCAGTCTAATTCAGCAGACCACTAATTCATTCTACCTGTACATTGGTGCAGTGTGTGTGAGCAATACAGCTGGGAACAGTAACAGTTCCTGAACAGATGCCAAAACCACTTTTGTTCTCTTAGCTTAAATAATACGAGCATTTCAACATACATTTTGATTTATAAACAACTAAAGAACGTCTTAAATTTGACAAAAAACAGGATTTTAATGAGGAAACTTCTGATTTCATATGTAAAGATGACTGCCAGCTTAGTATACTTGGTGCTACAGATACTCTTTGTTGATTCAACAGTGACAAACAATTACACTGCAGTTTGTGCATCAGCTATCTTGCCTGTAATAATTAAAACAGATTGCTGAAATTACGTGGCACCACATTTATTCTAGAGATACCGATTGCCACATTATAAAGATTTGAAATCTCAGAGTTGTTATAACACTAATTTCTTACTGAACTACCGATTACTGATCTAAAACCTTTTTTTTAATACCTCAGTGGCATTCCAGTGCATGCAGCTTGTGTTTAAATAGTCCACAGAATGCATCATGGTCATGTTGTGTATCAGTATGTTGCCCTGAGGACCGCATGATTCAATTAAAAGTGAAATTGCCATAAAACTAAACATGAGAAGGGTTCAATGTCTTTCACTGTGTTGCCTTTTGCAAGTTGTTTATCGGTGAACGTGTCATCAGAATATTTATCTTCAAGGAGAGGCCGTCATCACCGATTGTTGTGATGAAGCCTAAAATAACATGAGTTTTGTATATAACAGTCAGTGTCTATAACTCAACTACACAAACACACATTTTATAATCAATGATGGAAGACAAAGTATTGGAAACGTGAACAAAACTAAATACAATTCAACAAAACCACAAAGTACAGGCTCCAAAATGTCATCACCTCTCTAAAACAGTTAAACAAAAATGTAACATTAACTTCATTGAAGTATTAATTATTGCAGGACTGTTGTATCAGTACTAAAAGCAGACGGGTGACTTTCTCTTACCGCGGGCGTGTGTTTGACCTACTCTCTCAGAAAAAATGGTGTTTATTGATGAAAATATTCAGTGACATTTGTTTGTGCGTGTTGTGCTTTGAAAAAATACAATACGAGTCGGTGCAAGCTTGTGGAAAGTATTTGTATTTAAATATGTACAATTTGTTAAGCCATTTACAAACACAGACATACAGAACAAAGACATGAAGAGAAATGTGACAGGTATCTAGTGACAGTGTGTGACTGCACACAATGCAGTGATTGGGATGTTTGTATTAACAGCTGTTTTAACTGTAAGCAATGCTACAAAGGTCTAATTATGGAAAATTAACAACTTCATGGTGAATACTAGATGATAAAATGTCTGCCAGCATGCCTTTGTTTACTTTCTGTGATCACTAATTCTTTAATGAATCATTGGAAACATCTGAAAAGGCGGTGGTGATCTTCTGTCTAAGCCCGGCCATGGAAACCAAGATGGCCTCCTGTTGAAAACAAAATGAGAAAAACTAAATTAACACAGCAGTGAGTGAAACAAGCGAGCTTAATCCAAAATACTTGCAGAATGTAAAGCATTTGCTGATGTCATGTGATAGGCCCTCACCTCTGTACGAATGGTCCTGCTGCCCTGACCGGGGCATGTGTTGAGGTACAGGTCAAATAACACACTGGGGTCAGTCACCTGCAGGTGTTGGTCCGTATCTACACTGGCCTCCAATCCCTGAAGGCCTCCAAAGACGACCAAAAGATGCCTAAAAAGGGGGAAAAAGTCAAGTTTAAATGAACACAAAGTAAAGACAACAATACAGAAAGTAGACGGCGCTTTCCGACACTAAAATTGCATTTTTCAGTTTAACTTTGAGCCCTTTCTGTCTCAGCAACAGACTCTCGTGAGATCTGGCAACTAATGTTCATGAACACCCCTGGCTAACTCATTTTGTTAATGCTAAATATAGCGGTTAGCTGTGTAAATATCTAATGCTAGCAAAAGAAAATCGAAATACATTGTGCAAATATAACCCGGTCCGCTTTCAACCATCCACACTACGTCCGCAACGTTTCCAAACGAGGTGGAGGGAGGGGAGGAGAGGCGAACAAGCAATGACCACGCCCACTTAGGAGACAGGAAGTGCACATGATTACAAATCATTGGCAGAGCTTGTGATGCCTTAGCTTGTGTTATAAAGTACTTTTGGTACATCAGAGGTTGAAGGGAATGTCATTAGTTTTAGAAGCATTTGATTGGAAACCAAAATACTGGACAAATTCAATTTGACCTCATGGTGGCGCCAGAGGAAAAGTAAGGGGGATCACCAAAGTCAGTATTTACTAAATATAATGAGAATCCATCTGATGTTGAGATATTTCAGTCTGGGCCAAAGCAGACCAGCAGACAGACCAACATTAGCATGCATGGCCAATGAGATCCCAATCTCATTGGCTCTGAACATACTTGAATGGTGACAGGGCTGCTTGGTCCATGTTGCCGCCTTTCTCTGATGTGCCAATGGTGAGATCGTATCCTTCTGCGTATGGACTCTCAGTGAAGACTGCACCTGCATTAACAAACCGACAGCAATGAGGATAAAGCAGTCGCAGCAGGGCCACGCCGCATACTGGATTCTTGCACAAGTTAGTGGGTTGGTGTGGATGAAAAATCCAAGATGTTGCAAATTAATGTGGAGCATATGTTTGAGTGTATCACGAGGATAGGAAACCTACTGAGACACGACGCCAGACGGACACTGTAACCCCAGTAAACACCTCCTTCAGTCCTGGGCAGGTGAGGAGCCACCACCACACCTTTACACATTTTGCTCTCTGAGGAAGACGGACACACACACTGAACTGATGTGCAGAATTGAATGTGCAATGAGGACTTTTCTTAAAGAAAAATAAAAGGTATGTTACCCTGATTTTGTGTCTTATTGAGCTTCACTGTGACTCGAAGTCCAGACTGCAGCTGTTTATCTATCCGGACATCCTTTGGGAGCAGATGGAGAGAGTTAATTCTGGGAAATTGTAAAAGTCATTTTTCACTGTTTTCTGACATTTTACAATCAATTAATCTAGAGAATACCTGGTAGATCAATAATCAGCTGCATCCAACACCTTCGAACATAGCGTCCACATCAGATGATGAAAGTGACCTTTATTAAAACATGCTCACCTTTCTCATTCCACAGTTGACCAATGAGCCTTTTCCTGGTTTGATCGGCCTGTCGAGGACGATTCCTTCCCGGTAATCTGATTCATCATCGATCCTCATGTGGTGAGGACTGTCTAAAGGGTTGAGCAAACCTGGTAGAAAAGAAGACCAATCACATCCTTTAGGGGCCTGTTTATACAATCTGTCTACATAGATAAAGTATTCAGTTAATAACCAATTGTACCCTCCGGGATAACAACTTGATCTGATCTACACACTTTTAGGGCCCCCCACCTGAGGATCTAAGGCTGCCAGCTGACTCATACGGGGTCAACATTTCCATTATGTAGCATGAGGCCAGACCCAGATGTGCTTTGAAAGTAGTCATTAAACTAACAGGAAGCCAATGAGAGAAGCAGGATTGGGGTGATGTCTTCTGTCAAACACAGTGAGAAGCCTCGCTAACTAGTGGGAGGCGAGAGAGTGTTGGCTAGCTGCTAAAAGCTAATTTGCCATATTTTAATGACATCAGTTTAATAACTTTTGGGGGATGCAGTTGTCTCAGTTTTTGTTTGAGGGGGGACCCACAGTGTAAAGACTTTGAAAACCAAAGCTGTTAATGAATGCATGAAAAGGAAAATTGGATTATTACCTGCGTACTGTAAGTCTTGATGTTTTGGGAAAAACCACTTGCGCAGATACCTGATGGAGAAGAAATGCTGCAATCACAATCTCATAAAATGGGCTGACACTGACATCTGATTATAAAACAATCCCACTTACTGGGGACATTCCAGGTACTGAAGGATTCTGGCAAGCTGAATACAAGCATGTCCTTTCTTCCCAACACCTTTAAATTCTCCTTCAACGCTCCTGTGGGACAAAGAACACATATTTTCTATGAGCTTTCTGGTGGTTTAGGGTGTGTTTTTCCTCCCATAACTTGTATCTTAATGGTTAACTTACTTGACATCTTCCCCATATTCATCAAACACGATGATCTCATCGACACAGAACACGACACAGGCTCGGGCGATCTGCCCGGCCAGGTACGTACGAAGCTCAGTGGACTGAGCGTTATCCAGGACAGAACCCGGCAGAGCCACGCTGACCGTGTAAGCCCGACCTAGAGAGAAACACGAACAGATCACACACTGCTGCACGTTGTTCACAGATATCATGACAATCCGTGAAATGATAACATGGGTTACCTTTTGTGCTTTGGCTCTGATCATGTTTTGCTCTCTCTGCGGACTCCGTTTTCTTTTTCTGCTTTTCCAACTGTTTGATCAGCTTGGCCTCTTTCGTTTGCTTCTGAGCCTCTTTTACTGTCATCAAGGAAGAATCAATGACATTGGTAAGCACATTAGATGTATGGAGACAGAATGGAAGGATCCACATTGATGGTCTATGACACCCAGGTTGGGAACCAGAGGTCTACAAATACAAATGTCAGTTGTACAGATTGAAAATTAAAACTTGTAACACTCTCTACAGTAGCAAATAAAGTCCAACTTTGACACGTGAGTCTCCAGGAGCGCAGTGATAATCACCTGAAACTACCCCAAGAAGTATAAATGATCATACATTAAAACAAACATTAATGCTGTGGCTAAATATGAGCTAAAACATCATATGAAATGTTAATATGTAACTTAACTGGAACGTTTTGTAAAACAAACAAAACCCACACGTTTCTTTTTGAACAAAGACACGTTATAACACCGTGGCTTGTTAAAACTTAATAAAGGAGCGTGCTGTAACTGACCTAAATGTAGCTAACGTTAGCTGTTTACTCACTTTCTGTTTTCCTTTTCTTCCAGTCCACCTTCTCTGCGGGCTGTTAAAAGCAACACACACATTACAGGTGATATAAAGAAATGTACAATGTCATTTTGATGTAAAACAACAGTGTTACGGTACCTGAGAGGGCATACTTTGGGGTCTTTTCGCTGCAACGTCGGTAGACATTTTTACACACACCAACACGTGAAGTGTATTTACTTCCGGGTCGTGATTCGCGTTTCAAAATAAAAGTCTGATGCTACTCTGGTTGACACTGGCTGATTAATACCGACGGTTTTATTTATTGAACTGCTGGGATTTCCAAACACACAACTGGGACGTCATAAAGGCATTGTCCTTTCAATAGTTTCCTCCTCCTTTGCTTCTATTAGGACCCCAGAATATAAGTTTCAACTGAAGGAAATATCAATTTCCATGAGAGGGTGATAATAACAACAACAAGTGAACCTTGAGTAATGATTTTTAGTAAAATATTTCGATCTTTAGACATTTTCCCTACATCTACATTTGGCCTGGCGTGGGTATCTTCTAAAAGTAAAATGAATATATGACATAGGAACCTCTACTTCCAAAAGGACCTCCCATACATTTGCTCATTTTTCAAACATCACATTACAAGTTGGCTTGATTTTTGATCAGGGTGTTATACGCTAGTTTATTGTGATTATTGCTGAAACCATTTTTTTCCCCCAAGGAATGAGACATATCTTGTCCATTTCTTGTTCTTTAGGTTGTTTAATAAAATTAACTTTTTGTGTAAAGGGGCCTGGCTTCAACTGTAAACTTTTCTAGCCTACTCTTCATATGGACATCAGAAGTATGCTCGGCTCACATTCTTTTATGAGACAAAAACATTGTCAATAAGGCAAGAGGACAGAGAAGGACAATAATACTGAAGATGTGGATTTATCGAAAGCTTTATTTAACCTGTTGGATACTTGGATATAAGACAAATGTTTCTGCAGTTACTGAGAAATAGAGTAATGAGAAATATGTTGTACAGTTTTTTACTTGAAAAATAAAAGTTAAGTAAGTGGACAAGTGATGCGTGACTGTGTGCTTTACTGTCTTTAACTCAATTTTATCAAGATGTCCTCAGCTGCATCCAGAGTGGAGTCCTCCTTTTAGACAAAAAAAAAGGTGAGTTTGAGTGACTGAAGGACATACTGACAACAAGAAACACGATGAAAATAAGAGAGGACTTGAATCAAATTACGATTTTGTTAACCTTGATGAAACAGAATCGGATATATTTGTCAAAGTCCTTTCTGTGCTCTGGGCTGTAGAATACTGAGACAGGGATTGTTGCTAAACCCTGAAGAAAAAAATACAAATAACATAGAGAGAAGTTGAGAAATACATCGAAATATATGGTTAAATAAAACTTATGTTATTGCTTTAGGTAGTCATTTTAAATAAAATTAAATACAGTTTTTATGACATTTTAATTGTTTACCTTCTCTTTAATTAGCCATTTAACAAATCTGAAGTCATGGGGTTCATCCACAGACTATACTGTTGCATGCATACGTTTATTTCTCATACATCTGCTAGTCACTTCTCTCGCATGCTCTTATAAACATGAACATGGCCAACTATCAATTACACAATAAAACACCCGACAGGCTCAACTTGGGGTACCAACATCCTAAAGTTTTAACAAACACCAAAGTTGTTCCTCTGGGAGAGAAACTCTTTTCTCTTTCTGGGTGATTGAAACAGTTTATTCTCCACCACAGGGAGCAGTTTGCCGACAGGCTGATTGAACTTTACTGGCGTCTATAAAACTCTCGCACAGCTCAGGTGTCAAAAGTCCACCAGTGTCATCACCACTTACCACACATTTTTGTCCACACGCTCTGTACTGTGTGCATGAAAGCGTCCCGACACGATTATCTGAAAAAGCAAAGCACAGTTGAAATTTGCCAATCATACAAATGCTCTTCAGTGCTGCTGCTGAACTCACCTGTTAATGGTTTCTAATTGAACTCTGACAAACTTCAGTGAAACTTCCTGCAACATTAAGTCGCCTCCACCCCTCCTTCCCCCAATCTTTCAACCTGTTGTACCTTTATATGACAGCGCTGTTTCCCTTCAATGACTCCTTATTGAGCAAAACGTAGAGTCCTGACATCTTCAAAATAACACACAAGGTGCAAAAGACAATAATGTAGCAACAGAAAACATTTGCATGTGGTGGTGATATTCCTTTTAACGTCTCGACCTTTAATCCAACATTCTGAGTAGATAATTTAATTAGAAACACCGTCAGTACACTGCTGACTATGAATGAGTTACATACTCCGAACTCAGGTTGGCTGCCAACTCACATCGTTAATATGTTCAAGAAAAGCAGACACACCAGGAGTCAAACAACTTTACAATAAATTACTTACAGTTTAGTCAATATAGTGTGATGAAAATCAATTTATTGTGATTAAAACATTAAGACAGTGCTTTTAAGCCTCAACTTTAGCTGAACATATACGACTCTTATTAACTGTATATCTAAATCGCTATTAGGTTGTTGTTTCACACTGTTCACATGGACAGCCAAATATTGTAATATACACTTAACACGACATGAGCCTCTGAAGCTACAACAGAAGATAAACACTAAAACAGAGTGGATTCATTAAAAGGCTTTCCAAAAAATGTTGTGCTTGACATTATTGCACAGGAAGATTCACATGGATTTTTTTGTTGAAACCTGAGTTTTTACGCAATGTGTATTAACATATAGGAGTGTAACGGTTCACAAAATTCTCGGTTCGGTTCAATACGATACAGTGGTGCCACGGTTCGGTACGTTTTCAATACAGCAAAAAAAGCAGAAAAGCCAGCACCTTGCTGGTGAGACTCTCGAGGGGGCGTGTCTAAAGAAGATGGCTCTTCATCTCCCATTCAGTAGTGAGATAATGTGTCGTTACAGTCAGGTAGCTTTGAGTAGTCTGTGACGTCCGGACTTCTGTTGTCAGAGGAGCTTCGGACATTTGATTCTCTGTTTGGGATTGTGTTTTCTTTTACAAAGCAGGAATTGTGGTCTGGAGAAATGGGCTCGTGAAGGAGTCGTGCGTTTCAAACAAATGGTTTGTAATGCCTACCGAACGGTTCAATACAAACATGTGTATTGTTACACCCCTAATGGACACCATTGTCTTTAAGTACTCAACTGTGCCATTAGGACACACAAGCACTGAATATGGCTCATTTCAACTGAGGAAGCAACCTAAGCCGGTTTATAAAGCCAGGTGAGCTCCGGACGGACGGGTGATGCTTCTTGTGGTGGGTGATTTTTTTTTACTGTGTCTGACTCCACTTCCTTAAGATGTCCATTGCTGCATTCAGGGTGGAGTCCTCCTGTTAGACAAAGAGAGTGAGTGTGAGTCAAAGAGCGAGGCAGGAGAAGGCTGAGATCAGATTCATTTCAGTCCATTACGTTGAATTCACCTTGATGAAACAGAACCGAATGTATTTCTCGAACTCCTTGCTGTGCTCTGGACTGTAGAATGCTGAGACGGGGATTGTTGCTAAACCCTGAAGAAAAATAAATGATATAGTAAAAAGTCAGAGAAGTTAATTATACGCCAAAATTAAATGTTGCACAAAAACAGATTTCCATAAAAACAAACTGCAACACTTGTGCTGCTGCTTCAAAAGGAATTTGTTACTCGGTCCTTAATAAAATCCAATAAAGTATTAATTGAATTATGAATATTTACCTTCTCCTTAGTCAGCCACTTAACAAATCTGAAGTCAGTGGGCTCATCCTTAGTGCTCTGGTCATTCAAGTCCACCTCTGTCAAAAAACCAACATTAATTAGACAACACGAATAAAAGAATGAACTGGAAAAACACATTTTTAAAAGCAGTTTTATTTTTTTAGCTAAGACGTATTCAGGCGTTTGTTCTTCACTCACTGGCAGACGAGATGTCAGCGATCATAAAATAGCCTCCCTCCGGCATGATGGGCCGCAGACCCACACTCTCCAGACACGAGGCCAGCTTCTCTCTCTTCTGGTGCAACATGGCAGGCAGCTGCTGGAAGTAGCTCTCTGGAGTCCCAAACAGCTCGTACTCTCTCTCAAACCCACGAGCTACTGCCTCCTGTTGAAGGCGGGAGTGGAGGGAAAGACCAACATGGGAAATGGGATACGTTTCAGAGGCGTGGCTTATGTTAAAATGACAATGGTGACATTTGCAGATTGATTTGTTCAAGCAGAAGAAAAACTTTCCTTAAAAGAAAACATGTTTCATTTCGACAGATGAATCTAAAATGCTCAGGTTTTGTGTATTTACCTGAGCGGCTGTAGGACAGTGGTACACACAGTTCTGATGGATTGTTTTCATGTGTTGAATGATATGCCCAGAGCTGATGACCCAGCCAACCTGGAAAGAACAATGTTTCGTAAAGATGAATACATGACTGAAATACTCAAGACAGTTTGTGCATTACCTTCCAGCCGGTAGCACTGAAGGTCTTTCCTGCACTGCCGATGGTGATGGTTCGTTCCCACATGCCAGGAAGGCCGGCTGTCAACACATCAACATAATGAACATCATGCAGCTTCACACTTTGTGTGCATTCTGTTGAACTCGGGCTGCATCTCACCGATCTTCACGTGCTTGTTTCCATCATAAGTCAGCCACTCGTACACCTCATCACTGATGCACAGCACATCGTGTTTGATACACAGATCAGCAATCATTTGGAGCTCTTCCGTCTTGTAAACCTGTAATGGACATAAATGTGTGAACACATTTCATTCAGCTGGCTTTACAAGGAGACACTACTCTGGTAAATGTCTTACTTTGCCCAGTGGGTTGTTGGGAGTGTTGATGACGATGGCTTTTGTGCGTGGAGTGAATTTACTGGCCAGCTCCTCAGCAGAAAGAACCCAGTCTCCACTTGACGGGACGGTGCTTCCCTCAACTTTCTTGAATTTAATAAGAAAGAATAACAGTTGATGTATACATTTTGTAAGGACAAAAAGGTGAAATTGTTGAAAGATGCTCTGCAATTATTTGTGTAAAAAGTGTAACTCACCGGCCTCAGAGGTACATAAACTGCCTTTCCTCCGGTCATCTTCACCATTGGCTGGTAGCAGTCGAAGAACGGTTCAACAATTATGACCTGAAAGAAAAATTCAATGTTTTGAATGAAAAAGAAAAACCACAATATGTAGCACTGTGTTCACTGTGCTGAAGTTAAAGTTACTAAAGGAACTTGTATTTTGTGTTCATTTGGCCGGTCCCTGTGGACAGAAGTGGTAGTGCTTCCGTGAGTCCCTTTAGAAAACAGTTGAGTAAATTACTTTGACTTGAGTGGATTTTCATACCTCATCCCCTTCATCAATCAGAGCTTGAAATGTACAGAAGAGAGCCTGATAAGCTCCAACTGTGACCAGCATGTCTTCAAAAGGATCAATCGCATGTCCCACGATCTTACTGAAGAACTTAGCCAGAATATTTACAAGAGGAGGATGGCCCTGAGGAAAGAAAGGATACTTAATTATAAGGTGACTCTCACCGTTTGTTCTGCAACTTAAGCAGACTTTTCAATCAATCACAGAAAGATAAAAAGTTTCCTCAAGCGTGTCTCTCCACTTACAAAAGCTCGGGTATACTGGTGCATTTGGTGTCCTCCACTCACAGCTTTACAAAAAGCTTCTTGGACAAATGTGGGAGGAGAGAAGTCAGGAAATCCCTGTCCAAGATTCACCGCTTTGTAGTCTGCTGCCAGTTGTGTGAATTCAATCCTGTTGGTGCAAAACAGGTCACACACTGCAGTGCAGCTCCATAAATTACAATGATATGACCACAAATCCTATCCTGCGATCGTCATATTATTGAACAATTACGTACACACAAGTGAGTAAGAAAAATACATATATTACAATTATAAATGCTTTAGAATGAATTATTTGTGTAGAAAGTTTAATGCAAGAAAAAAAACCAACAAAATGATGTAGTTTCAAGACATATCTTTCTAGTCTTGCAGATATTTTTGGCTTCACTTGCCCAGGTTTTGAGATATTCATCTCTGATTTCTGCAATGGATCAGTGAGAAAATAATCTTTTATATAAATGTATAAATGTTGATATGTGATTCAAACTGTATTACGTACCACACGTTCTTGCAGACACCGACAGTTCTGCGTGCTTGAAGTTGTCGTGACATGATTGCCTGAAATAAAAAGCACATTTGTAAGAACGTCATGTGTCGCTTTATGGATCAATTAAATGCAGCTGTACTCACTTTATTAATGTTTCTTATTGAGGAGTCCTCAAATTAGCAGTCAGACTCCTGATTATTCCCTTCATCAATCACATATCTTGCAGAGAGAGAGAGAGAGAGAGAGCGGACTGAGAGAGCCTGAACACAGAAGCTGGACTTTACCCCTTTTGGCGAATCAGTGCATGATTATTAAGAGGAAACCCCCGTTGAGTGTTAGAATTAGTTCTAGAGACTTGGCATTGTTAGTCATAAATGGTGAGAATGTTCATAATAGGCAATAGTAAATTATAGACGATGTACATAACTATTCGTACTGGGTGTTAGGGTTACATCCTATTGACAGCGCCTCGGGCATTAACCGTAAAAGACTTCCAGAAAGACAATAATTCCGAAATCCTAACGATTCAGCTTCGGGGTGAGATAGAAGGCCGAAGGTATTGTTGCGACACCTCCAAGAGGAACGGATATCCTCGCAGGTGGAACAGCCGGACGGAGTAACCTGTTAGGTGCGTAAGGCTCCCCCGCTTAGACATGGGGCGGGCAGGACCCGTTCACGCTACAGTACCTTACAAGCGAGCCCAAGTTCTCGTATTAGGCTCGTGCGACATAAGCCAGGTGTGCGCACAATGCATGTCGGGTAGATTTGCGTCCGACTTGATCCCGATTTGCTCTGACGTCATGAACTCGTGAGCAACGATAACCTCACGAGAGCGAGGCGGCGGCAGATTTTAGAGCCATGCGCTGCAGTTGCTCTCCACCGCCTGCATGACCCCAAGGCATGATGGGAAACTTCTGGCTGTCGTCGGATCAAAGAGCTGATTGGCTCTTAGATTTGACAACAAACAAGTTAAGTAGAAAATCCTAATTTTCTGTATAATTAATTGTAATACTTAACGCTAGATTGTCGGCCAATAGTCTCATTTTGTGCAATGATGTGGCTGATAATAATAATATATAAGGTTATTTATTTAAATAAATAAAGATATTTATTGAGAGAGCCTGCATCCTACTTGATGTCAACATTTTTTCAGTCAGAGCACTGAATGTGTCCATCGATTAACGATTGTGAAGCATCACAAAACGTATTAAAAGAAAAGCACAATTGTCACTGATGGAAACTTGCAGTGTTGCCTTTCCTCCGTGTGGAGCCTGTTTATGTAGCTGTGATGTTTGGACTGTTGGTTCAGTTTTTAAATTTCTTAAATTTACGCTTGTATGATTTAGAAATAGCGCTATCTTCACATATTTATTTATATAAATGTTTAAATAAATATGACATCCAAGAACTAACATATGCCAAATCGTATATCCTCAATTATAATAAGTTAAATATATAAAAAGACTATATAAATACATATATTATACTATATAATAAAAGATTATTTTTGTACACAGGGGATGCAATTAAGAGACTTGGGATGTACCCATAGCCAGGCTAGTCGTTTCCCCATTCCTAGCCTTCATGCTAAGCTAGTTAAGCTAACCAGCAGCTTGATTGATTCTACTCAAATATTCTCATTCTTCTCATCTAACTGAAAGCAAATAAGCGTATTTCCCATAATGTCGAACGATTCCCTTAAACGACACATGATATTTGGTAAAATAAACAAACAAATGATACAATAGTCGTCATTTAAGTTCATCATAAGCATCACATTTTATTGACACATCATATTACTCCTCGACAGGAATAAAAGGTACAATACGTGCAGCAGCGCTTTAATATCATGTAAATGAATCATGCTGCCATAAAAAGAGACGGATTTATTTTCAACATTAAAACATCGCCGATGATTTTTTGTTTTTTGTTGTAAAACGCGGCATAACACACAGTCCTCTACAATGTTGCTTTCTTCAAGTCCTCTGGCAGCACTCGGCCTCTCTTCCTCGCCCTGTCCTTCTTCTTCTCAGTCTTGGCGTGCTTCTGTTTCTGGATGTTCTTCCGCCTCTTGTCCTGGCGGTGCTGCATCTTCTCGATGACGTTCTCGCTCCGCTCGCTCCACTGCTTCTTCCTCTGGTCGCCCCTCTTCTCCTTCTGCTTCAACGAGGAGTGCAGCATGACCTCGTTGTCTTTGATCTTGAGACCCTCTGCCTTGTAGAGCACGTTGGTCCACTTCATCTTCTCCTCCATCTCGCGGGCCTTCCCCTCGTCCTTCTCCCTCAGCTCTTCCAGCTTGGCTTTGCGAGCCTCGACGCGACCGAGCAGCTGCTTGTAGTTCTTCCCCGTCAGCGGTGTCAACTGGCCCTTCATACTCTGCTTCTTGTTCTTCTTTTTCTGCATTTTGTCTACATACCTCTCTTCCACCATCTCCACCTTGTTGAACACAATGGCAGTTTCGCTTCTCTTGTTCACGGCCGGGGCGCGCTCTTCCTGTTTTATCTCCTGCTTTATCTCCGGCTGCTGTTCTTTGCCACTTTCTTCAGCCAATTTCTTCAGCCGAAACTCTTTCCTCTTCCTCTTCTTGCGCTCCCGCTCCACCTTTCTTTTTGCTCGCTTAGCCTGGACGGCCTCTGATGCCGAATCCTTTGGGGCTCCCTGATAACAGATTAGTGCAGCGTGTTAGACGAACAGACACTTCACTTTTGAGTTTAACTACTGCGCAGTGTGTGATGACACTTTTGTTTCTGTTTTACAGTTCCACAACATGCATATACTTTGGTATGGACTCTGCATATGTCTTCAGGACATCTCTTACTGAAAATCAAACATTTTAACTGTACAACAGCATCCCTCTGTTTCCTGTAAGCCTATCGTTTAACTGCGATTGAAATTAAGTACACGGCGACCAAGTGAGAAACATCTGATGAAAGTATAATGTTTTTAATATTCACTGTTAACTGTATTATCACATACTCATACCAGTACTTGGTATCAGCAAATACCTAAATGTGAGTACTTGTACTTCATCTGAGAAGAAGTGCTATTGGTGTATCCCTAATAATAATGGTCCAAAATTATGTAAAATGATGCAAATAACTATTAAATAAATGATCCTGGTCATTCCACTTAAAGTTAAACATAAATGTTGAGCTCCAGTTAATGGTGGAGTTTACGGTCTCAGCACAAATCAAACAATGTTGGATACATTGTCACTAATTAAAACCTCGTCTGCTCCATCTTTACATACCTGCCCTCTGGACTCTTCGATCTTCTCATGAAGTCTCCTGCGTAGTACATCTATGGTGGAGAAGTTGGACTCTACAAATAAAAGAAAGAATAAAAAGTGACTGAAGGAACCATTTTTAATAACAACCAGGAGCAGCCTGAGTAATGGATACACGTACTGTACCTTTAGGTGTCAGTGTTGATGCATTTATGCTCTGAGCTGTGGACCCATTCAGTTTAGCTGTGGCCGGGCCTTTCTGTGCTGCAGGGGAGGATGAAGCCTTTATTTGGGGTTTAGGAGCCGGTGTCTTCTCATCAGTGCTCTTTTCTTTGAAATGTTTCTTCTTGCACTTTTTCGTCTTCTTTGGAGGACCAGTGTCATTTTTACCCTTAAAATATGCTACACACAGAAAAACACATGTATTAATGATCATAATATATATTAACATTTAAATATTTCACAAATAAACACAATTTTGTATATTGGAATTTAGATTTTTCTTTTTTTAAACACAAGGCACAATCTTAAGATCCACTGTGTTATTGTTTCAAACAAGGTTGGGAAGCACAGAATTGATCAATTAACTTTTATTTATAAAAATGTCAGAAAATAGTGAAAGATGTCACGATTCCCTGGAGTACATTGACCTAAATTCTGCATCACAAATACCAAAACCTAACGATATCTAATTTACTAAAAATAAAACCAGCATATCATCACATTTAAAAAGCTCTAAATGGAGAATGTGAGGTATTTTTGCTTAATAAATGAAGTTTTTGTAGATCTGCTGCTCTTGCCTATTTCTGATATTTGTACACACGATACTTTAGAAAAAACTGCTTTTAAACAGTACAGCGCCTCCTTTGGTCAACAGCGGAAATAATAACCACGTTGGACAACACCTTTTGGCTTTTAGTACTTTTCTACAACCATCAACACATAAACAACTCCCATAGACACGCTGTTTAGCAGTCACAGCACATTCTAGGGTGAAAATGAGCTAAACCGGTGAGCTAACATTACCAAACGGTCTCTTCTTCGGCTCCTGGTCTTGTTGAGAAAACACTTTGCTGGCGAACTTTTGAATGTAGGAATCCCTAGAGACGAGATCCATGTTGACTAAATGAACAGAGCCTCTAAAGCAGCTAAAACAAGCTCTCAAAACACGAGCTTACCGATAGAAACATATCAACACATTTCTATGAACACACGTGGGTAACGTCCCGGGGCGGAGCGTCATCACACCGGAAGTAGTAACACCAAAAGAAGTCCCCCTCCTGATAAGTTATGTTCTGTTATGACGGATGTCTCCTCCGTGTTTTCGGATGTTTTGACCTAACATGTCGTCTTTAAAATTAGTGCTGGCTTATTCCACCAGAGTGCTAAAGACGCTCAAACAAAAGGTAAGTTACATGTTTCATATCTGCGTTTTTTTCGTCTTCACCGAGTCATGTGAATGTCACTTTTCAGTGGTTTTCAGATTGCTGAGCTGATTTTCTGTCATTGCAGTCGCACGTCATTTACATCAAGAGGACTCTCGTGCTGCCCAGACTGCCACTCTTCAAACGTGCAGAAGGTAACTGTTAATAAACATAACGATGACACGTTGTACTTTTGTTTTTCACCATTAAAAAATGCACAGGAAAACTTATTAAAAGCAAACAATCCATAGCAATTCATAATACTGTGAAGAAACAAATATCCAGGATTGTTGATTTAGACAAATTTAAGAAAACATTATGAGTTACAAAGAGATTAAGCTTTCAATTCCTTTAAGAAGGCAGAGAATGTTCATCTATGTTTATGGTACTTTACAAAAAATACATTTTCAAGGTAAAATTATCTTTGGATTTGTGCAGATTATGGGAAATAAATAGCAGCAACAGTATGTATATACAGCATGTTATATAAATGTAACAATGTTTAATCTCTGTCATGTATCGCTTAACTGAATAACATTTCTGTGTAAACACGTCCAGTGTCTTCACTTCCTGTCTTGTGTATTGTGAATTTCCAGGTAAGTTCGTCACCTTTGGGCGACAGTCGAGCTCCACAGCAGCCGAAGCGGAAAAAGCAGAAGACTCTTTCTTCAAATGGTTCCTGCTGCTCATCCCTGTCACCACCTTGGGCCTCGGTACTTGGCAGGTACAGCATATTTACTTTGTGTTTTCACATAAAAAATGAATGCTGATGGTTTGTTCTTGTTGGATGGACTCGTGATATATTTTGTTCCTGTGAAGCTGAGACGGCGTGAGTGGAAAATGCAGCTGATCAATGAGCTGAAGACACTCACTGCTGCAGAACCCATTCCTCTTCCTCGCGAGTAAGTACTTGTGAGAAACGTTTCTTAGTATTCTCACACACTAAATGCAGCTGTGCCCCTTCCTGCTTAAGAAGTCTGGGATTTTAGAAATACAAATATGCAAGTTGCTTTATAAGAAATCCAGTGGCGTGGCTGAATATCAGGTCCACAATTTATTTTAAAATCTTTTCTTTTTTGTCTGTATATTGCCACAAATACCCTTTACAAATAAAAAAAAAAACATTTGCATGACTAACATGTTTTACTAATTTAAAAAGGGCACCTACATGTGTAAAACAGACTTTGAATTTACTATATAATAATCAATACAATTGTGAAAGTGTAAACAGCGTTGATTATCTTTCCTTGATAAATTGCACTTTAACGATTTGTCCTTGTCCCCGCCAAAGATTTGTATCGTTATTAATGTGCAGATTTGCTTGCCATTTTCCTCCCCGGGTCTTAGTCCTAATGAGCTGAAAAGCCTGGAGTACAGGAGGGTGAAGGTGCGCGGACAGTACGACCACTCACAGGAGCTGTACATTCTGCCACGCTCACCAGTCGACCCGGAGAAAGAGGCCAGGGAGGCGGGCAGGCTGGCTTCAAGCGGAGAGACCGGTGCAAATGTCATCACTCCGTTCCACTGCACTGACCTCGGGTAGGACAACAGATTAAACATACTTACTGCACACGTGTCATCTCTTGCATCCAACACCTGCTGATGATTGCTACCTTCACCTGCAGCATCACAATCCTGGTGAACAGAGGATACGTCCCAAGGAAGAAGATCAGACCAGAGACCAGGGTGAAGGGACAGGTGGGTACTTCAGATGATGCGACGCGTCACGGCCTCTTTATTCAGACGACTCTACCGGTTTGACATTGTCCAACTCACGATGGAACGTACAAAAAAAAAAAAGAATAGAGAGAATCAAAATCAATGCAACAGAACTAGAGATCTTTATTCCACGCATGTCAAAACCTGGTGCCTGGATTACCCACAGTGCAACTTGATTGCCAATAGTTTGGGTGTGCTATGCTCGTAATGAAGCCTCAAGAGGAGATGAGAGCGAAAGCGATCTCCACACCCCCATTTTTCATTTTCAAACTTGCAGTCTTCATCCCCAATCAACAATGACTCATGTGACGTCTTTTGAGGCAGTTTTATCACATTTTGTGTGGAGCAAAATTAACAAGTGCTCTCTAAGACCTGCAAACAGACTTAAACCTGTAAACTTGGTGGAGTTTCATCATCCTTCCAGACAACCTTTTTGTGGACACAAAGACATATGATTAACTTGATTGTATCTGATTTACAGTACTCATCTAATGGTAGTAGTGGCTCTGAGATTTCTATTTGGCCTCAGCTATAAACCACACAAAACCATTAACATCACATTTTATATTAAAGGAAATGGCGGCACCAAAGCTTCCCCGTCGTACTTTACATTTTTATTTCCTCGCAGCCTATTTAGACTTATCTGACAAAATGTAATGGCGCTTCTGTTCAGGTGGAAGGTGAGGTGGAGATTGTTGGGGTCGTTCGACTGACCGAGATCCGCAAACCCTTTGTGCCGAACAATGATGTGGAGAAAAACCGCTGGCATTTCCGGGACCTGGAGGCCATGGGCAGCGTCACTGGAGCTGAGCCCGTCTTCATTGATGCAGACTTTGGTATGTTCTCGTGGACTACAAAGTCCACCATGCTCTTTGATTCAACTATATCATAGTGAATATCAAATCAAATATACAACTGGCTCATACACTTTGTAATTATTATTCTACAGGCGAGCAGAAAAAGGTTAAAGCCACTTATATTAAAGATGTTATAGATTCATGAGTAAATTAAAGTGTCTTGTATTTAACAGGGAGCACGACTCCTGGCGGACCAATAGGTGGACAAACCAGAGTCACCCTGAGGAACGAACACATGCAGTATGTAGTAACATGGTAAGTAGATTAAATACACCTGAGAAACATGTCTTTAAAATAACTCAATGTCCTGTAACTGTTTTTACTGAATTGATTTATTAAGTCCCCTTTTCTCCGAAGGTACGGCTTGTGTGCAGCAACCTCCTACATGTGGTATGCAAAGTTCATCAAGATCATTAAATGAGTGACCTTGTATTACATATGAAATATTGCTGATATTGTTCTACTGAAACTGAGAATAAATGTATAAAACTTCATTTAGCGCCATTCTGTATTTCTACACATCTCAACTACTGTTCCGTTAACTGATGGACACTGAAAAGGTACAAACACTCCCTAAAATCTAAGTTTTCTGCAGATTTGTGCTTTGTATTAAAAGGAAACCACTGCCCCATGAACTGCAGTGACAACTTGTACACGGATGGTGTCTTTAAAAGCTTGAGGCCTCACATTCAGTAAAATCTACCATCTCAGTTTTCCAGGTCTCAGAAAATTGTTTATAGATCAGCCCGAAAAGTCAGTTATTTTCAAACAATTGAAAATTAAACTGCCAGAGCCTCACTATGTAAAATGTGACACCATGCACTCTCCTCACCCAACCATTTCTATGTGGCATTAATGTGCTGGGGCCTTTAGTGCCATGGGGACACTTGCACCCGATAAAATGAAGTATCTGCTACATATTTTCATCATTAACTGCAGGAAGAATACTGTATTGATAAAATGAGACCCAATTTCATTGTTTCCCAGACATTAATTTTGTAGATTAATCTTAAATTGCATTCTTTCAAAATACAATATAATAACACCAAACAAGTCTCTTTTAAGACATACATTTTTTATTCCAAACATTTTAACCAAGCTTGGTTGCCAGTTCCTTGGCCTTTGCCTTCTCCAGCTTAGTGATGCGGGCCGTAGATTTGGGGCCCATGATACCACCTCCCCAGTGACGACGGATCTGGAAAACAAATTTAAAGAGATTAAAATTGTGCACTTCTGTTGTATTATATTAACATTTTACTAATGCGGATGATATTTGCAGTCAACTCAAATGAAAGCTCACCTCCTCATATCTGTCATTGTAGTTGGTCTTGATGGCTTCCACAAGCTTGGCAAGTGCACCTTTATCCTCACTAGGAGAGAAGAAGGCCATTTATTAGAGTGCAGACATTATGAGGCGGGGCAACAAGGAATTATTGATTCAATGATCAGGTCTACTTTTAACAGGATAATGTAGATCAATCATTTACATATGTTGATTTCAAAAAGATCAGATCGTCAATCAACCTCATTTGATTTTACGACCCTAGCGGCACACACGCACCACTCTATTGCACTCTTTGAAAGGATGAATCTGATCATAGACTAATGTTCACAATAAATGTGGTAAAACATGTTTTCTTGGTTTGTGGTCTCTGCTCAGGGTTAAAAAGCTCAAGTTTGATCCACATGGAGGATTCAGTCGAAGAAATTCATACATCATTGCTAGAGACCACTTTCTATTCTCAAAAAGACACCACAGCTCAGTTTGTGGGCATACTTACGGGTTAGTCTGTGTGAAGGCAACTGAAGTGCACGTCTTTCTGTGCACCAGTCTGCCCAGTCTAGCCTTGCCCTTGACGATGCAGTACGGGACACCCATCTTACGGCACAAAGCTGGCAGGAAGACGACGAGCTAGAGAAGTCAGGGAACCACAGGAGAAAACGTTAATATTTAATGAAGTATTAGCTTCAAGCAAAGCCAAAGAAAAGGATTAATCTGATTTATTCTTGGTTTGTGGTCTCTGCTCAGGGTTAAAAAGCTCAAGTTTGATCCACATGGAGGATTCAGTCGAAGAAATTCATACATCATTGCCAGAGACCACTTTCTATACTTGAACTTTGCCAATACGGCAAATTCCACTGCTACTAAAATAATGCGTGACAATCTTACCTCAATTGGATCCACATCGTGGGCAATGATGACCAGCTGGGCTTTCTTGCTCTCCACCAGAGAGGTGACCGTGTTCACACCTGCAGGGAAGCGGGAAAGGACAAAATCACTTTCTACCCAGAAAACACCCTGAAAACATCTTATTTATATTTTGGCCAATGCTCAGGGTTAAAAAGCTTAAAAGCATCAGGGTTCAGGTGAAGAAATTCGAGTCATCACTGCATTAAGGCCAAGTTAGAGACGGGTCACACGATTAACATCGGATGTTCAACCCAGCCAGACTTAAAGGGCTTTCCAAGTTATACAATATGTTACCCATCAACTCTACTCTTTGTTCTTTAGTGAACCTCACCTGCACGGACCACAGGAGGCCTCTTGGTGGGAGTATCTCCCTTTCCAGCGGCCTTCTGCTCAGCACGGGCCAGCAGCCTCTGCTTCTTCTCCTGCTTGGTCTCTGGCCTGTACTTGTGGGCCAGCTTGAACAGCTGTGTGGCTGAGAAAAACATACAAATATGAAGTCAACCACCCAACAGTGGCTACATGCAGAAACTATGACAAGTGGAATAAATAAAAATATATATCTCAAGAAGTGGCATCAGTGATCTTGGTGGGTGTCAGCACAGCTGTTCAGTTAGCAAATATTCTTTCACATCATCTGCAATGTCATCACGGTACTAGTAAGGACTTTAACAGCCTTGAGTACTAAAGCATCCCTCACTCACCGGTCTGGCGGTCCAGAGCCTGGGTGAACTGGTTGATTGCAGGGGGAACCTTCAGACGCTTGTAGAGGATGGCGCGCTGCCTCTGCAGGCGGATGTACCGAGGCCATTTCACAAAGCGTGTCAAATCACGCTTGGGCTGAATATCCTGGCCTGTGGGGGAAATATAATAAGTTAGTATCTAGTACCAAACTTAGACCTTTTGATTTTCTCATCATAAGTGCATCAGCGATCTTGGTGATTAAAGTTGTCGTCAATGATGTTAAGATAGCAAATATTCGTATCATCATCTGCACCGTTACAATGTTGAGTTTTCCCAAAAATCCACACAGAGGATACTCACCGATGCCGTAGTTCTTTGGCCTCTTCTCGAACAGGGGGTTGACTACTTTCTTGGCCTCATGTTTCCTGGCCACATTAGGGGCCGGTGCCACCTTCTTCCCCTTAGCCTTCTTTCCCTTAGGCTGTCAAGAAAACAATGTTGGGAAGAATTAATGAAAAGGTACACAATACACAAACTACTTAAAACAGAAGAAAGTTTGAAACCTAATCAACATGTATCTACAGCCATGACTGAACATACAGCACAACACTTGTAAACACTAATAAAATCTTAAATGTGTTGCCCAAGTAAGCCACAGAACAATTTAAGTTAACATCTAAATTTAACATTAATACTACTTGCACTGCCCAAACCAGCATGCATGAGTTTTAACATCCATTGCTCAGCATGGAAGGTGGCCTTGTTCCACACACACACACACACACACATATTACCTTAGCCCACCCAAGACCATTTAACACAAGCAGTGTTTGAAGACCAGTAGTTTAAGCCAATAACACGCAATTAAGTTCCAGAGAAATACATTGCATGGAGCTAGACTACTCCATGTTGCAGGCTACACTGTTAGCATGCTACACAGAATCAAGACCAATAGCACTAGCTTGACTGCTAACGTTACTACTGACTGGTTATACTTTAAAAATGTTGATATTCGCGGATTAGACGAATACCAAGCTGACAAAGTCCTTAATAACGTGGGTTTGAGGTATGGAAGCCAACAGCACGTTACCATCTTAGCAGGAAGAAGCAATGCTCGGGCCTATCAACTCTATTGGGTTTAACACCCGGATACACACTCGTATCCCTCTACATTACAAGTAACGTTTTACTTCAATTAGTCACAAACTCAAATTAAATTAAAAATACAGAACAAAAGCGAGACAGTGGTCCCGAAATAACGTGTGTGCACCGACATTAGCTTTAGCTACGGTGCAAATCGTACCGGCAACACAATGCTCAACTTCACCAAGTTTTACCCTAAAAACAAAAACATCGACGCGAAATACCGACACTATAGATACTGGCAGGCTTCACATAAGTCATAAATATATTTTAAAGAGTAATACAACGCATACATCAAGCGATGCAGACAGATACAACGGAAAGATTTATTCCTCAGAAGGATCGGCTATGTACCCACCATGTCGGTTCAGGCTGAAAGGAAGACCGAGGGATTCTGGGTAACCTAAATAGCGCGAGGCTTTGCACCGTGGTTACGTGGCTTCTTATGCACCGACCTGGAGTCAGATGTTACAGCTGCTCGCATGCTACAGCTTTGTAGTTTTAAAAGTCCTATTCTGACTCAGGATCAGTGATACAATATAATGTCTTTGAACGTCATACTCAATGGGACATTGGTTGTGTATAGTACACAGTCTGTAGTAACTCAGTAGTGGAAGTACATTTACAAAAGTACTGTATAATTTCAGGGTACTTGTACTTTGTATTTCCAACTTTGCAACAATTTACGACATCTTAAATTACTTTAAAGATTTAAATAAACATGAAATATAATCAACTTATAAAGGATATATTTTATAAATTAAATACCTAGCAGTATATCAAGTAATTAAAAATAGCCCCATCTTTATCAGCTGCAACATTAAAGTTATGAACACATGAATAATCCAATAATATTATACTGAAATGGGTCACTTTTCAATGAGTACTTTTCGTAGTTTAACTATTTTGACTTTAATTAAATTAGTTAACCATTTTACTTTCAAAAGTATTATTTCACGTTTCAAAACTTAGTACTTCCCTGGCCACCATTTCTGTTCATATCTTTTTTTAAATAATGACATTTGTTTCTACAAATAAAATGAACTAAGATATTATCTCATATTTGTATATTTCAGTAGGCATTTCCATAATTACAGCTATTGTTGTTTGTAGTATTACCAGCGACAACAAACAAACACGCGTATACACGCTGCTAACTTCCGGGAGCTACTTGAGAGGATCCATTAGCCGCCATTGCTGTAACAAAAATAACAGAGATGACGTGACTCTGGATTTGAGCGCAACATTGATAACTTCAAAAACCTTCTTTCGTTCATCCCAAAATGTCGATATGTCGTTTAAGAACTGCTACTCTAAATTAATTTAGATTAATTTCCTTCACAAGTCATGATATATGTATTGTAAATGTACTGTGACTATACAACTGCCCCATTATCGGACATATTCGTTTTATGCTACGCTCAACCGTTGTTCCCACAGTGGAATCGGGGGCCAATTTAAACGACGTACAATATTACGTCACTTCCGTAAACAGGGATATTTAGCATCTAGCTATTTAATTGGTTTCTACTTGTTAAATTACACGCAGCATGTACACGACAAAGATACGCGAGATAAAAACAAGGAAAGCGGGGTTTTATTTTTTAATCGCGAGTTGCTGTAGTCTGGGTTTGTCAGGTTGACGTCTCCGCGTTGCCTCCTCATCCTCCTCCTCCAGCCCTGCGTCGTGCCGTGCCGGCCGGGCCGTGCTGTGAATGTGACGGGGGTGGGAGGCGAGTTGTTTGGGGATGGTGGGCTTGGGTATCGCGTCTCTAGGCTCGGCTCCTGCACATCCTGCTAGCATACTGTCACCCGCCCGCATCCAGTATCGATTGTTGCCAAGAAGAATGAAAAAATAGCGATTATCGTCGCGGCAACTTCTTACGTTGGTAAATAAGTGGGATTCATAACTGCTGTTGTCATCGCTGCAGTGAGGAGATTTTTTTCCTGAGCTTTTCTTGGTAAACATAAGGCCTGTCAGTTGATCGGTTCCACGGGTTTATGTGGGGGATTATTGTGAAAAGATGATCTAAACACGACAATAGACATCTTAACTCATGTGTTCGTTATCAGCCAGAGACAAGGCGCGTGTGGGTTCTCTTGGTGCACATCGTGTGTTTGTGTTGAGATGTTAAAGCTAGCTTTAGCAGCAACAGCTTGGCATCTGTATCGCTACAATTTTGTTACACTGCCATGTTAAATTAGCACACGTCCCCTCCGATGAGAGTGAGTAGCTATGGCCGAACAAGACGTTTGTCCTCATCTGGATTCCATAGGAGAGGTAACCAAGGAGGACCTCCTCCAAAAATCCAAGGTGGGTTTTCATTAATTTACTGTAAATGTCAAAAGATGCACATTCCAGGTCTTTGGCTGTGTGCCATGGCCTACACTTCTTTTAAGGTTGTTATAGCAGCCTTGCACCACTGTAATAATAACCATTTGAGTTAGTGCATTTTGTTCTAATCCTTTCTATTCAATTCATGCTGCAGGGAACTTGCCAGTCTTGCGGAGCTGGGGGCCCGAACCTGTGGGCCTGTCTGCAGGTAGAGTCTTTTAAAATCAATTTTTAAATGTTTTGAATCTTTGTCCTTACAAGGGTAATTGCTGCTTTAGCTTGTGCGCCTTGTCACTTAAATGATGACTCCTGCAAGCGCAACTACCTCTGCATTTCAGATAAGACGGCCAGGTGACTGCTAAATAATAAATGATGATGTGGGGCATAAGTATTATGATAAATGCAGTAGTACTCAAAGCATGTACACAATATAGCAGTTGCAGATTTGATACTCTGACATTTTATAGTCTTGCATGGCATTAATTTAGAGATTAAGCCGATTCAAACAGATAGAAAGGTAGATACTTTGATGTAATGTCTTTGCAAGACAGAAGAGAGGATTCAGAAGCCCGTCTAACACAGTGTCTCTGCTCTGTAGAGTGACTGCCCATATGTTGGTTGTGGAGAGTCCTTCTCCGATCACAGCACGCTGCATGCACAGGTAAAAACCCTCTCACGCTAAACATACCTGTCCCTTTACCTCCTTGGTGTATGGTGATGAGAGAAAACGTTTCAGACAGATCCCCCTGGACTGATTTGCGGGTGTGTTCCCTTTAGGCTGAGAAGCACAACCTGACTGTGAACCTGACGACGTTCAGGATCTGGTGTTATGTGTGTGAGCGGGAGGTGTTTTTGGAGCACAGGCCTGCTCTGCTGCCGGTACCTGCAGCTCCCCACCACTGTAAAGCCACGGAGCAGGTACGACATCGCCTCCCAATCTGTCTGTAACACAGCTTGTTCCTTACTCACCTTCTTATTTATAGTATCTATTCATCTTTTTCCTAGGAAGCAGCTCCTCAGCCAGTAAGTCACCCACTAAAAGCAGTGCCAATTGCTGTGGCAGAAGAAGAAGGTTCAGAGTCAGAGGATGATGACCTTAAACCCAGAGGTACAACAAGTCCACTGTCAACATTTCCTCTCCTAAACAACAGAACACATGGGTTTCTCAAATGGGTTGTGGTTAAGTTATTAAATCAGACAGAAAATGGTTTTAAGAATCATGCTATGGGATCATAGCTGCCATCTTTAATAGATATAACTGCCTTGGCCCGTTTCATTTTAATCCAGACTAGCATTGCTAATTAACCCTTGGTGGTGATCTATCTGCTCTGTTATAAAAAAGTAGCTTAGTTTGTACGCCTTTGTATTCTCTGGCAGTTTAAAATAACAGTATGGCTCTTGTTTTTTCTTGTTTGAAGGCTTGACAGGAATGAAAAATATTGGGAACTCCTGCTACATGAATGCGGCTCTTCAAGCCCTGTCCAACTGGTGAGGTCACTTCCTCTCATTACATCTGGCCCATTAGCTTCTATGTTTGTTAATTCGTTTTCCTTCAGTTAAACAGTTGTGTTGATGTCATTTTTTTCCTCCCTTTCCTCACCAGTCCTCCTCTCACTCAGTTCTTCCTGGACTGCAGTGGATTGGTCCGCACCGATAAGAAGCCTGCTCTCTGCAAGAGCTACCAGAAACTCGTCTCAGAACTCTGGCATAAAAAACGGTACTAAACACATAAAACGTGACGTAAAATGACATGAGACAAGACAGAATGCAACAATACGAGACTTTTTTGTACTAATGGATCATTTACAGTATATTGAACTAACTCTCATGGCGGCTACCCTCCCAGGCCCAGCTATGTCGTGCCTACCAGTGTGTCTCATGGCATCAAACTAGTAAACCCCATGTTTCGTGGTTACGCTCAGCAGGTAGGGGCAAGCAGCCAGCAGGTAACTACACCTGGCATCACTCAACAGCTTGACACGGTGTTGTTCTTTGTTTGTAAACCCCTGTGTATATTCTTCACACATTCCCTAAAAATGTCTTGTATTTTTGCTATTAACAATTACATTTGTCATTAATAACCAAAAGCTTAGTTTGAGTTTCGTTGTACTTCAGTTTTTTGGGGGATTTTAGTATTTTTCTCACATCCTCAGGATCAGACAAAGTCATACATGCTTTAATAACTCTCTATGTCGAAACAGTGGAGAGTAACTGCAGGAGAGTATAGATATAATCAGATTTGTTTGTAACAATGAAATTTTATAATTGCATAAACTACAATGCGTACTTAAGTTAGTCCAGCCAAACCTCTTGGAGAGGCTTAATAGTGTATTTCTTAAAAGAATAGTTGACATTTTGGGAAGCGTGCTTTGTTATTTTCATGCACAGAAGCAGTTAGCTTAGCTTGAAGACTGGAAGCAGGGGGACACAGCTAGCGACAACCTGCTAAACTAAGACAACCGTCTCCTGGCTGTAGCCTTATATGTTGCACACTGACATGGGAATGGTATAGATCTTCTCCTCTAACTCTCGACAAGAAAGCAAACAAGTGTGTTTTCCAAAATGTCAAGCTCAACATACAGTCATACTGCTTGCAGAAACGTTAAAAAAAAGCATCTGTCACCTTTGTCTGACTCTGTGGGAGAAAGGAAAAAAAGAATAATTTCTTTAAATACACAAACAACTCAAATCAAAACCATAACTGATTCTTTGTCAGACGATTAATCATCGGTGTAATCCAGTTTAAAAATGTCTTCATGTTTGATTGAGGTTCAGTGCATGTTTGATTGTGTGAACTGTCTGATTCTGTTGGTTGGGGATTGCCATAGAAAAGTCTCTGAAAGCCTCTGAAATATTAATGAGTTTTGCCTGTTCGTACTGGGTTCTCCTTGTACCACTTCTGACCAATATACAAAATGCCTTTTTGTTGCAAACAAGTCACATAATTACTGACACACTTGTCTTTCTATCTTCCTGTTTTGAAATGTCTCTGCATAACTCCTGTCTCTGTGTATGTAGCCGCACTCATGCGTCCTTTTGAGTGAACGCAATGTGCTTTTGTCGCTACAGGACACCCAGGAGTTCCTGCGCTGTCTGATGGACCAGTTACACGAAGAGCTGAAGGAGCCTCTGACAGAGTGCAGCATGAGCAGGGAGGGAAGTGACGGCGAGGAGATAAGAGACGGAGAGCGCTCGCCGTCTGAGGATGATTTCCTGTCCTGTGACTCTGGCTCCAGCAGTGACCGTGGGGAGGGAGGGGCAGCGGGTGACGGCGAGCTGCTCCTGCAGGATGTGTGTGACGGGGTCAGGTCACTGGCGGGAGGGATAGTGGGCATCGGTACCGGTGGGGTGATCTCAGAGAAGGAGAAGCTGAAGGAAAGGAGGGTATCTGGCTCACCCCTCCATGGAGGCTCGCAAGAGATGGATGAGGACGCTGATGTAGATACGGCAGCGGAGGACAGGGTTCCTGAGAGGGGAGAGGAAGAGGAGTCAACGCCAACTGCAAACCCTGAGGTCCAAAGCCAAGAGAACAACCAGTTATCTGATACTGGGCAAGGGCAAGACCACAGCAGCAACCCCTCAGGTAAGCCAGCAGGGTCAAGAAAGTGGATTCTTCAATCTAACATCCCTGGCATCATGTCACTCATTTGCCTCTAAACTGTGTATACTGCGCGTCCAACATGCTTTTTTTTTTTCTAGAGCCAGACAATGAAGCGTCAATGAACCAGCCCCAGTCCACTCCCTGCAGTCCTGTGCGAACCATTCAGGAGCTGCATCCCAAACTGTCGTCCAGTCCACCTCGCTCCAGCCCCCTCCGCTCAGCCGGACCGGTGTACTCCTTCAAAAAAGGTGAGGAAACATCCCAGAGTTCAGTAGACTCCTGCGGACTCTACGGACTCCTGAGGAGTTCCCGTTATTCAACCCTCTGCCTCGGATATGTACATTTGCACCACAAAGTCATGTGAGAGTAGTTTGCATTAGAGACTTGTTAGAGCCACATGAATTAAGAAGTCAAGGCGGCAAATGCAGGGTGCCTTTTGATTTTGATGTGAATTTAATGTATCCAGTGAGGGTTTCTAAAGTTCTTCATATACAGCAGGCCTCTTCTTCAGGTTTGCAGTCCATAAGGTTGCTGCGTTGAAGATGTCAGGTCTATTTCTGGTGTTAATGAAGCAAACAGTGGTAGTCAAGACAAACATCAACGATATTAAGTTGTTCCTCTAATATCCTCCCCTCCGTCATCAATCTTTCAGCTCAGCTGCAGCTCAGTGCCAGGAAGAAGAAACAGTGTCTCTATCGCAGCGTGATCTCGGACATCTTCGACGGCTCCATCCTCAGTCTGGTCCAGTGTTTAACCTGTGACCGGGTGAGCTGTGCTTCATTCAAACACCAGGGGGAGCTCCGTGTTTAGTCAGGAAGGGAAGTTTAGGTGAAAGCATGTCCTGTGTAACTGAGTCATTTCAGTATTTTTTTGTGATTAGAATGAAAAAAAAAAAAGTGAAAATCGTAATTGAACAATTCACATTTTAAACTTTCATTAGCTGAGATTACTTGGTTTGTCTGTTATTTGTATAATTCACTAATGCCCTTTTTTGAAAACATAGATGTTAAATGATTTATTTGACTCTAAAATCACTCCTCCACCACACTGTTCTGTTTGGATAAGCATCCATTATTCTATAAACATGTATTGTTTAAAGCTCTACTCTTACTGATGGAGGCATGCTGTGTAAACCTCGTCTCTCTGAATGTGTGACAGGTCTCTACTACAGTGGAAACCTTCCAAGACTTGTCCCTCCCTATTCCTGGGAAAGAGGACTTGGCCAAGCTCCACGCATCCATACACCAGAACCTTCCAGTCAAGACAGGCTTGAATCCCGACATTTATGGCTCGCAGGGCTGGATCTCCTTCCTAATGGACTCCATACGCCGGTCAGTGGACCACGTTTAGCCTTCAGAGGAAAGGGAGAAGTCAGCATGTTTGAAAGCATGATAGTGCGTTTTAGATGCAACTTGAGACTTGCTCATCAGGTTATGACTTATTGAGGGAGTGCCTTGCAGAGAAAGAAAGCCAGTGGAATCCCAATTTGATTACTTATGTCTTTGAAAATCTAAATCAAGCACCATGAGGCTGCCAAGAAAAGTGTGGGCTCCTGTGAAGTGACTTCAGAGTAAATGCCGCACTGTGTGGTTTTGGTTTCCACAGAAGCCGTCAACAAATAATTAGCTTGCACGCCCCTACTTCACCACAGCAGCGGCCACAGATGATGCAGGTGAGGGCATGTAGGTATCAGGTATCAAGAGGGGTTTTGCTAGATCTGTCAAGGCAATATGTGTGTCCTTGTTTTGTTTGCTGCACTTCTTTTACTTGCCTTATGAGGTGGATCAGCACAACGCATGCTAGCATGTTGCTAGTCGCAAGAAGTGGAAAGATACCACAGCTGAACTGTCTTTTAAATATATAGTGACAATCAGCCGGGTGTTTCCAGTTACAAGACCTGCACCATGAACTGATGAAGGCCCCTGGTTCGACTTCTGCTCTGACAAAATTCAGGAATTCTTTCAGGGAAAAAGTTTGTTATGTTTCACGCCTCAAACCTGATAAAAATGTGTGTGTGGTTCATGCTGTGGGAGGGTCTCTTGAGGACTGATGGGTGGGTGGAGATTATGTAGACTGAGGAGGGTTCTGAAATGCCTGATCCAGTGCTCCAGGACAAGATGCGAGTGCTGAGCCAACAGGAGTGGTGTTGTATTTTCAAAGACTGTAGAGGTGTTGTTTTTTTTAACAGTGCAGCAGAACGTGTGGTTATTGTCCATGTCAGCAAAACCGTGTTTTCTGTTAAGAAATCACTTCCTTTGCCAAGTGCATCTGCACATGCCTGGACTATGTTACCCGAGTTTATCATCTCACATATTGGGACAGAGATGCAGAGATGGGCCTTGGCATGCTATTTGCTCATCTTCCAGCAGTTCTGAGATTTCAAAATCACCATCATAACAGTGCTGGTGACGACATTTCCAACTTAACAGTGATCGTCATGCTCATCCTGCTGCTTCTGTGGAAGACAACGCGGTGCCCTTCCAATTTACTGCCATCGACGACCCTGTCAGGAGCTAACATCGCTCTAGGCAGCATTTCTTTTGGGGTCACTTAATTGTTAAAAGTTGCCGAGCCACACAAAGGTCATTTTTCTCAGTATGATCTCTGTGACAGACTAGAATAGGTTGTAACTATTATGTCTCTTTGTGTTACGCCTCTGAAACAGGTTCGTAGTCTCGTGTATCCCCACTTGGTTCTGGGGGCCCATGGTGACGCTGGAGGACTGCCTCGCCGCCTTCTTTGCTGCAGATGAACTCAAAGGTAAACAATGCTACACTGTGCTGTTCTACTTTAATGCGCTAGCGTTTAAATTGTCAAGCGTAGATGAGAAAATGTATTTCAAAATGTCCAATTTATTTCTTTTCACAGGGGACAACATGTACAGCTGTGAGAGATGTAAAAAGTGAGTATGTTTAGTAAATCCAGATGGAGACATGAATTAGAATTAAAACATCAATTTAAGGACATTTTTCATTTAGACATTTTTTACACAGTATTTTGTTTTCTACAGGTTGAGAAATGGTGTCAAATATTGCAAAGTACTTAGACTTCCCGAGGTACACTATATTTTTTTATCTGATCTCCTTCTTGCTGCAGATAACAAGTTTTAGTTTTGCTCGTGGTTGGCTTCATAAAGTTTCATTTGTTTGCGTAGATTCTGTGCATTCACCTGAAGCGCTTCCGGCACGAGGTCATGTATTCGTTCAAGATTAGCAGTCACGTGTCCTTCCCGTTGGAGGGCCTCGACATGCGGCCTTTCCTGGCCAAAGACAGTCCGTCCCAAGTCACCACTTACGATCTGCTGTCGGTCATATGTCACCATGGCACTGCAGGAAGTATGAGATAACATCATATGTGCATTTCAAACATGATTAACACATTTCAGAGAATCCGCAACGGTTTAAATATATCTAAATCTACTTTATGCAGGGTAATCACATGGCTTACTTTACACTTTTCTTCCTCTTTTCTGGTGCTGCAGGTGGGCACTACATAGCTTACTGTCAGAATGTGATCAATGGCCAGTGGTATGAGTTCGATGACCAGTATGTGACGGAGGTCCATGAGACGGTGGTGCAGAATGCAGAGGCCTACGTGTTGTTCTATAGGTAAGCATTTGAAGGCACCTGTAATGTCTTAAGATTTATACCAAATCTATTTATCCCAAAAATGTTAATGACTGTACTTTTTTCCCCTGGACTCGTGCAGGAAAAGTAGCGAGGAGTCGGTGAGAGAGAGGCAGAAGGTTGTGGCTCTGGCCAACATGAAGGAGCCCAGCCTGCTGCAGTTCTACATCTCCAGAGAATGGCTGAACAAGTTCAACACCTTCGCCGAACCAGGACCCATCAGCAACCACACGTTTCTCTGTCAGCACGGAGGTGCGTGGTCAAATCTTAATGACGTTTAACGAGTGATGTAAAACATCAACCCTGCCTTAAAAGGGCATCAAAACAGTTTACGATTATTGAGATTTTAATGAAGAGATTCTGTTGATTTGCATATTGGGAAATATAGGATCCAGTGTTCTTTTATTACTTTGTTTTGCCGTATTATTTTGCTGTTCAATGATGGAAGACAGATTTTTGAGGAGGTTTTCTGGCCTCTCGAGACATTTCAGCTCTTAAAACAAATAATTTGCGTTCTTGTTAAACTGGATGTTTTCTTATTTTTATGATAGTTGGCTAGTTTACTTGTCTCAATTGGAAAAACATGTCTTCAATGCTTTTGAGCTTTTGTGAGACCAGGGTGGGGATTTTGTTGTTGGGATTCTTTCTGGTCTCCAGTACAGGCCTGAAAGAGTCATAGATTTTGTCCTTTATCGTCGGTACATTTCTATCTCCGTACAGGGATCCCACCTAATAAATACCACTACATAGACGACCTGGTTGTGATTGTTCCCCAGAACGTGTGGGAGTACCTTTACAACAGGTAAATATGCAACGTGTTTGTCTCACTAATATTTCCATATGATATGGATCAAATGTGCACGGAGTCACACGCAGTGACAAACCTACAGAGAACTATCACACTGAAGTTCCCCTCAGCTCTACGCTGTCATCATCATTTGTGTCAATCTGTCACTATATCTTTCAAATGCCTTTTATACTAAAAGTTGGCGTTTCTGTCCTCAGTTTTGGAGGCGGCCCCGCAGTCAACCACCTGTATATGTGTGCCATCTGCCAGGTGGAGATTGAAGCTCTGGCTAAACGCAGGAAAACAGAAATAGACACCTTCATCAAGGTAAAAGCCTGAATCCTGCTTTACCTGTGCGTAAATACGTCTTTACGCTTGGTGTTGGATGTTGAATGAGCAGGTTTCTCTTGTCCGTAGCTGAACAAAGAGTTTCAGGCTGAAGAGGCTCCGACGGTGATCCTGTGCATCAGCATGCAGTGGTTCAGAGAGTGGGAGAGTTTTGTGAAGGGCAAAGACAATGGTACGACCCTGCAGGAAGACAAACACAGTAGTGCGTTAAAACGTCTTCATCTTTCCGTCTTTACAAGATATTTTTCATGATTTGTGTTCTCAGAGCCACCTGGGCCCATCGACAACAGTAAAATCTGTGTTATGAAAGGAGGGCACATACAACTCAAGCAAGGTAAACCTCAGCACTGGTTGTAAAAGGTGGAAGTGAGAAAAACAGGCAGTCAATAAACCATCTTTTTTTATGTGCGTTTCACCCCTCAGGTGCAGACTATGGTCAGATCTCGGAGGAGACGTGGCAGTACTTGTTGGGTATTTATGGCGGAGGCCCTGAGATCGCAGTGAGACAGACCGTGGCACCGGCTGACCCGGACAGCCTTCATGGAGAAAGGAAGATCGAGGCAGAAACCAGAGCACTTTGAGAAAAAACAGAGGTTGGAATGTATAATTATTGGGAAACACTGTAAAGATCTCACATTCCCGTGCACAATCACATGTTTGAATATGCTTTTGGGTAATGTGTAGCTCTTTACTGGAAGCCGTGGTCGTGGAGCTGGTCCACCCACTCTGTCAACCACATGAGCTCATAAATTCCTTCTGGTCAGCAGACCGTAAAATAGCCGCACATGTGGCCAACAATAATAGAGGCAGTACATCCAGCGAATAAACAGCTGTAAATCCAATCCAGCCAGTTTGAGCTGATAAGCGGTCCATTTGTTCTCAACATGTTTTTCATTTTCAGGTCTTCTGATTCCCCTTTTCCACTCCTGCCCTCGCAGGAACCTGAGGAATTTGCACCTTGGTGAAGAAGCCTCGTCGTGAGCACTTTGTAAATGTAGCAAGGCACTATTCTGAAGCCGTGTCGCAAGAGGGCGAAGCGGTACTTAAATATCACGTAGTTTATTTATTGAATAACTCTGATCCTTAATGTTAAGGTGTAAAAAAAAAAATAAAACGTTGTGTCACATCTCTGGAGCTGTTCTTGGTAGCTATGGTGTTTCAGTGGCAGACAGCTGCTGCTGGCGTCGGGAATCAGTCGGCTGAGGAGGCGAACAGAGCCGGTGTGATGTTTGGTTCAGAGCTTTTCTTCTGCATTGGAAGCTACAACCAAACGTTCTGTTGTTTACATGTTACATAGCAACACGTTCAGACATCGAGTGAGAGATAGTGCATAAATCATACTCTTGCACCTACAACCTTAACTACACAGTATAACGGAGCCCTCAGGAATGGAAGTCTTTTGTTTTGGTTGAGCCAGTGAAATGATCAGATTATGGAACTTTTAAGAAAATACCACAGCTGGTTTGTGTCAAACCACAAAACATGCATGTGTCCCAAAAGACCACTTCCAGGGTGTATTTGAAAAGCTTCAAAATGCATGTGACTACTACTCCGTTATTTGGACCCGTATGGACATTTCGCTGACGGGATGAGGTGTCGAGTTTGTTCGCTCAAAACGCACAGTAACGTCTTTTCTGGGTTTAAAATGAAATATTGAGTTGCTCCTGTCCAGCACTATCTATAAATGGGCATACAGGCGTTAACGTAGATATATGGCGATTATTGTAAACGAAGTAAAGAAACAGCAAGTTTCTAAAAAGACAAACTAATTTAAGTAACATATGGCAATAGTGCCGGAGTTAAAGGGTAACTTTAGTATTTTTCGATGTTACTCCATTCTGGAAAAAATTTCAAAACTTGTCCTTATTCGTCACTTATACAAAAAAATATGGGAAAATAAAATCAAGGTTGAAAAATCCCAAAGTTACCCTTTAAGTAAGAAGAGAAGTACATATCTGGTGCAACAGCGGTACATTTGCCAAAAGGGGAATCTTGTGCAACAAAATATTGGAACTGGTGCAGTACCCGTTTAAGCCAAGAGAGGGCAGTACTTTCACCATGTAATCGTTTAGAAGACATAATCTGACTAAATCACAAATAATTAGCACAACATGCACAAATCCAGACAACAGTATAGGTCATTTATGATGACCATTTCATTGATCGAGTATATTTTCCTATTTCCGCATAGTATCTTAATTGTGTGTTGTGTTTCGTCATCAGAAAGGTGAAGCTGTGGTAGGGATGTCGCACAATGAGCTATTTGCTTGTAAAAATATTTGTGCATCTGCAAATTGCGTTTTTGTTAAAGATGCATTTTAAAATTGGATGTAAAAATATTCAATCTTAGCTAATTGAGACACCATAGCTCGTTTACTCAAATTATATTCTGCTGTAAATTCTGAACAACTCCACCCACACATTAAGTGGTGAATCATAACTTCCGTTGACACTTCGTGTCAAGAAAATTAGATCGAGATCTTGTGCTTCACTCGTCTTTTTGGGGGGTTTGTATCCGTTATCAGTGGTAAACAAGAGTCTTGTGCAATTTAACAAAACCACTAACGCCTCCAAATATTAAACTCTGGCTTCCATTTGAAGCAGCCAATATGCAGTTGATCAGAGCTTTTTTTTTTTTTTTTTTAATCTAATAATTGTTTACTGTAATTAAGTTTTCATCTGAAATATCAATAGCAACATTATATATTGTTGTGTAGATTTGTGCAAGGGTAAAATCTTTCACAAATGGCGGACACGGACTAAGCTTAGCTAAATAAACCACATCATCCTCCATCTCATTTAAGATAAGTCGCATGCTTGCCTTTTTTTTTTTAACTGTACAGTTCTGCATAGACGATATCTGCCTCCACGCTTAAGCAATTAAAGCCCAGCATTGTGGTGAGATTGAGCAACACATGGGAAACACAAGATAACAAGAATGTCAAGTGTAACTGTGCTGTTCTGTTATATTAATAAGAAATACCAATTTAGAAAGCCAAAACTATATTTATATTGTTCTTTTAAATTAATGTATTATTAGTTATGTCTAAATTAATTTAAATGAATTAAATTAAAGTAGCAATTATACTTATTAGACATGCATTGAAAAACCTCCAGAAGTCAGAGTTCCAGTTGGATAAATGCTACACTTACCAGTCTAAACGGCCACGAGACGTATTAGAGTGACAGCATGTCAAAGCCTATTTGTGAAAGGAAAAGAAGCCCGAATTTATCTTTTTTTTTTACAATTTTCAATGCCAAATGCATTTAAATATGAAAGAAATTCTGTAGTTCTTACCTTCTGATTTTTTCCTCTTTTTTATTTTTGTAGCAGCATTCAGGCAACGAGATCTGAAATATAGTCGAGCAAATTATAAGCTGACATGTACAAAATATGATAATGTAGTAATTGATGATCTGCAATAGAGTCATCCTACCTTTCAATAGATTCAGGTGATAATTCTAGAACTAGAAGTCTTCACTGTCTGTCATGCCCAGCAGGAATTGAACCTTCTTATAGTTCCCCTGCCCCCTCGGATGAAAACATTGAATACGTGGAGATCATCAAACCTAAATCTGCGGTTGAGGCTCAGATAGCCGTCCTGAATATCCTGCGACCAAAACCATTTAAAACTAAATAAAAGGCAGCCATTCTGAACGCCATTAATTTCACTTGAAATGTTTCCCGCTCTTACAGATCACACATCAACTCTGCCCGTTATGTTTATTCCAGACTACGGCCTACAGTAATCCATGTCTCCCTGTTTTATTTGTTGCTGTGTCCAAAGAGCAATTCACCAGTTTTAATGGTCGAGAACACAGAAATGTCGTTTTCTTTTAAGAAAACTGTTTTACCATGTTTTTCTTTTTTTTTTACACACGTCTGGTCTGTATCTACCAGAGAGGATACTGGTAATATGGGGATGTGTGTTCAGATACTTTTTGGGGGAGTAAGTGCAATGAGAAAAAGAAGACAAATCTTTGTGCAATCCAATCATCAAACAGACACTGGACAGCCATCAAACACGGAGCAGTGTGAACAGCCGGCAGTAGAGACTGAGGCAGTGCAGCTTATTATATTGCAGTGTTAAGAAACGTTGAGTGGTAATTACTTTATCATCCCCACCCATGAGTTTGTTTGTTTGTGTTACAGCACGTTCTGTAGCTATGCGTGTGAGATTTCCATTTCACAAGACAACACACACCACATTACAAGCATTGCTGTGGTTAGAGAGAGTTCATCATGACAGCCTGGAAGCGGCACAACAGGAATTTACCAACTCATGTGTTGCCCAAATTTTACAGTGTGTGGCTGATAATGGACCAGTGATGCTTTGATGAAATGGGACAGTGGTTGACCTCATTTCAATGGGATGTCTTAATGTCTGTATAACTGATGTAATTACCCATGACGGTTAAATCATTAAAATTGCCTCGTCTTTGATTTGAAGTGTGTTTTTATTTGCTGTGATATAAATATGAGAATAGCTAGCAGGCAAAATGGAAAAACAGGAACTTTTGTTTTTTGGATAAATATTTTGAAACCACACAGACAATTGTTTTTAAGAGGACATTTTATGCTTCACTTCTCAACCTGTGAAAACTGATGTATATCATCTTTTTGGGGCACTCGAGGGAGCTTCGTCGAGCCTGAGAAAATAACCCCGGTGATGTCATAGTAACATCATCTAGGACTCATTAAAGCTTGCAACCCAGGGCCATGGGGTTTAGTTGGAAGAATAGTTTGATATTTTGGGAAATATGCTTTCTTGCTGAGAGTCAGATGAGAAGATAGAGCATCATATTTGTGTGTTAAAAAAAAGAAGGTTGAAGCTAACGCCAGGAGACAGTTAGCTTAGCATAAAGACTGTACACAGGGGGAAACACCTAGCCTGGTTCTGTTCAAAAGGTAAGAAAATCCGCCTACCAGCACCTCTAAAGCTCACTAATTAACAAGTTATATTTCATTTTGTAAAAACATCAGTATAAAAACGTCCTCACTCGTTGACACAGCTGTTTGAGAATGCAGACATGAGGGAACTTCCCAAAATTATCTCACTTGAGAAGAAGTGGGCGTTACCTTTACAAGGAGGCTCTATTTAAATGATGCTGCATTCATTGCATTATAGGAAATTACAGCACATAAAAATCTGCCTTTCCTGAATCCTCCAACTTTATTGGACTCTTGATGGGTGCAACGCTTCTTTGAAATGTATATATATATAAATAAATATGTCCAGATAAATCAGAATATGCATATATAAATGTATTACTATTTCCCTTTACACATTGACTTGGATTGTGTCCATTTTGGTTTCATCACTACTCATCTAGAGTAAAGCTTTAATGAGGAGGTAAAGATGAGGTGAATACGTTTTATGTGTCGTCTACTGAGAGCATTTAGTTAAGTGTAAGAGGCAGAGTGAGAGGGTTCACCTGTTTAGATTTGAGAAAGAGGGGGCAACTCTCAAGTGAGCAGCTGTGATGTCATCTCAAGTCCCATACGCATGCTGAGCTGCATCCAGCCCAGACCGAGCCAGACCGAGAGGAAAACACACCGGGCTGACGAGAGGATATGATGCACACACCGAGAGCATTCTGGAAGACAGGAGAGCCGACCTGCTGTTCAGGTAAGAGACAAAAACAAAGACTGGCTTAGAGGACACAAATGCAACCGCAGCATCCGTCCACATCACATTCCCTCAAACATTGGCATGTTTCCTGCACTGCATGTCACATCGGAGCTGGGATACTTACTCATAGGCTGTACGGGATGCATTTGGTGGCACACCAGGTATATTGATGAATAACATAGCAGTAGTTTTACAGGCCATTGCCGATCACAATACAGTGAGAATCCAGGACAGCAGGGGAGGCTTTAAGAGCCCCCTGCTGTGTCTAGTCACTGGGATGGGATGGGTGTGGCGAGTAGCAGCAGCCCACTTGCCCTTTCCATCCTCATCATCAACGTAATTTGCACTCTTGCTAATGTCTCTTTATGCACCAGCCAGCTTTGCATGATGAAGGTCAGGTGATAGATTTAGGAGGGAATGTTGAGATCTGCAATAATGAAGTGGAATAATTACCAATTATGCATTAACATATCTGAGCCAATGTGAAAGGGAAAATGAGCTGCATGGATTCTCTTCTAGCTCTATAACGGTTTAGTTGACTAAATATTTAAAGTACATATAGCATACACAGCTGAAATAACTGCTTGTTGCTACAGCTGTCAGAATAAACTGGATTATGCAAGGGTTATATATACATTATTAATATTCCAGATTATAAACACTTGAGTGGTTCCCCCATTTTACCTTAGAGCATGCACTGGTTATCCCTCTCCTACTGTGCTCACAGCACTCCTGGATGTTTGCTACAAGTCATAAATCAGTGCTCACGAGGCCCCCGGGCGGGGAGGGGGGGGGGGGATGCATTAATTCCTTACATTTTTTAAATAATTTGCTAGTCTTTGACTCTCCTTATGGTCTTGCACCAGCTTACTTGACATGTTTGCAATGTATGATGCTTTAAGTTGTTTCAAAGTGTGCATGCAACAACTTTTAGTGAGGCAGCTTTTAGTTTGATGTTGTTGTTGCCGTTTAAACATTCTGCTCCAAATCTTCAGTCTGGCTTTTGACTAGCCTAATGTTCTTGTCTACACCTGTAACTTGTATATGTTACGTCTTATTTAACAGCCATGCTTCATCAGGCTGAAGAGAGGATGACTAACAAGACACAGAAGGCCATACATTTGTCAAAGTTCCAAGCCCTGTGGTGATCCTGCACCCACATAAAGCAAAAATCAAAGTGCTGCTGTATCGTCAGAGGAGCGAGTCACCAGAAAGTCATCCTGAAAGAAGCCATGTTGGACAGACTGTAGCCCACTGCTTCAGCTCCTCGCTCTGGGAACTCTCTCTCTGTGGCTTTTGCAAAAAGCAACTGCTGTAAATATTTACATGCCGTGTCTGGCAGCTCTTAGAGACGGAGAACACTGTGAGATTATATGACTCCGAGACCTTTTAACTCATGGTGCACCTCGTTTGGCCCTGCAGGCAGGGCTGGATGTGAGACTTTTTTTTGGTTGCAGAAAACAGGAGAGTTCAGTAGTTGTGCTCCTTGTTTTGCGGTACTCTTTGCTGCACCTTTAAATTCCCTGCTTGTCTTTTTCTTTTTTTTTGTTCACTCATATGAAACAGCAATAATCGACACATAGTGCAGTAGTTTGAAAGTATATTATTTAGTATATTCTACATTACAAATACACAGATATTATAAATGTCAAAATATTGATATCAGTACATGTAAATATATAATAAATGTTTTTCTCACCTGGAAAATATATTAAAGATGAATTAGTAGGGATGAGTATGCATACTGACGCCTGTGTGTAGATTAACTGTTAACACCTGTATAGTCTGTCTCCTGACCTGTTTGCACACACACACACACACACACACACACACACACACACACACTATGGGCTGTGCCATGTGTTCCCAGCTGGTTGACAAGTGGACTGTGAGGGTGAGCAGGGCTGGCCGCAGGGCCATGGAGCTCACCGCCTACCCACAGACGCTCCAGGAAGGTTACCACCGAGTGACCGGCCTCCACTACATGTCCTCCTTCTCTGATGCCGAGGACTGCTGTGATGACAGCAGCTCAGGCAGCTCTCTCACGTTGGACTGGCAGACACAGGGCACCGACGGCTGACACTCAACCATACATGTAAATAAACATGATAAAAAACACGTGTGGTGTGCTGTATTTGCGAGAAAATTGAGAGGAGAGATGTTTTTTTTTTTACAATACCCTCTTTATTAGATTAATCTTTTTGATTTTTCAGCTGGGTTTGCATATTTTACTAAGCTGATCAACTGTCATCCAGTTTAGGGGTTGCCAAGTTCAAGGTGAAGTCTTAACATGTCTTGTTTTGTCAGTCCAAAAAACAAAGTTATTCAGTTTAATATAAGTATAATACTCAACTCAAGTGCAAATACCCGGAAATTGTACTTAAGTAAATGTACTTAGTTATTTTTCACCACTGCTGTCATCAATAAAACTACACAGAAATTATGACCGATTAGGATGTTGCGCAACTAAAGTACCGGATGATGGCAGCGGTGGAAATTTTCCTTGTTTTGCAACCAACTGCTCAACACATATTCATATCTTACGTGAAATCATTTTCTCAGCATGACCACCACACTACGCAGAGAGGACATGCGGGCTCACAAAGGTCTTCTTTCACCTGTAGGTAATGACCCTTCCTCTCTTATTCAGGTGCAGTGGTGGAATGTTCTTAAGTGCTGCACTTAAGAACATTCTGAGGGTACATGTACTTTACTTGTATTTCCATGTTATGCTACTTTATACTCCTTTATACTTCCTGCTCCATTACATTTAAGCAGGAAATGTTTTATTTTACTTACTACGCTTATTTGACAGCTGTATTAGCAGTTATTAGTAGATTTTCAGAACAGTTTTTTACATAACATTTTGAGTGTACTTTACTTCAGTATTACAATCTTAGGCTTCTAGCTTCTATTCTATTCTATTCTATTCTTCTAGTCCACTATAATTCAGATGCAAATATTATACTTTTTACTTCACTATATTTATATCAAATTATGAAACCTTTGAGTTTTTAAAAGTATGTATTGCTAAGGATTTAGTTGAAGGAACTATCCTGTAATAGCCAATACAAAGTATTTAAATATGATCCGACTCTAGCAGCCACAACAGTAAAATGCTGCTTGCATAATAACAGGGATGAAGAGTACTAGAATATTCTCCTCAACTACAAGTAAGATAACTTATGTAAAAATGTAGCCTACATAGATAAAAATGTAGTCTAAGTAAACGTTTTTTTTAAAGAGGAGGGTAGCTTATATGATGATGATGATGATATATGATAGACATATTAAATAAAGGGCATTAACATGTCAATGTACACATAGACATGTACAGAAACCTTATGTCCAAACTAACGACATATTTTTTTTGATGGCACCAGTGCACACAACCGATTATCAATTACACAACTACTACTTGAATTAACCAGAAAAGAGACAAAACTCAGGCAATTACACAGAACGTGCCAACAAGAAATATAAAGTTAGGATACAATAGAAGATGCAACAAGCATAATTTAGCCACATAAATGAAATAACCTGCCACTTCTTATGGAGTCAACAGAATAAAAACATCACTTCTCACATCATCTCCACATAAGCTGCAGCCACAAAAACACACATTAAAGCGCAGAAATCACTGAATTATAGCTTATTAAAAAAACTCACCTTCAAACTTTTGAAACTGCAATCTCAAACACAAGCCCATGCTTACTCTCACATGCACACACATGCTTGCATGCTCGACACAATTACATTATTTTTTCTTTTCTTTCTTTCTTTCTAAGTGACTTTTTAAGATATAGCTGTAGCCTCGGGGAACCAATTTTTGCGTGCCAAGATGTTTCATTCTGGGATTCACGGAATTATGAATGAAACATTCCGTATCTTCTGTTAAATCTGCCATCGTGATTTGAGTGAGTGGGTGGAGGCATCACCGACGGTACATAAATGACTCCTCCTCGGGCTCACTCTCACTTTTTTAGCAGCTTTACGCACGCACGCACCAATCTCAGAGCTCTTCTTCCATTCCAACAAATGGTTTGGGTAATTGATGCAGAAATCATGGCAGCCGTGATGAAAAATCAAGTTTTCTCCTGTTTTGTTTTCTACGGCGTGCTTTTGGTGATGAAAATGTACATTATAGCAATAATTACGGGACAAGTGAGGCTGCGCAAAAAGGTGAGTGACTATGATCATGAGAAAGCAGCATGAGTTCAGCACCGGGAAACTTTCACTGATAACTTATTTTCTTTTCTTTTTCCTTCTACCTTGAAAGGCTTTTGCCAACCCCGAGGACACGCTGAGACACGGAGGGTTACAATATCACAGAGAGGATCCATATGTGGAAAGATGCCGGAGGTAAGAGAGCAGACAGTTTGACACTGTCACGACATGCTTTTAATTTGTAGAAGTACACTACTTATTTACTTTCAAAGTTAATATACTGCTGCTACAATCCTTTCGTTTTTTAAAATTAGATTATCCAGGAAGTATTCAGAGCCTTTACTTGGGTATAAAGTACCACAATGTAAAAAAAGTACTTGAAAAAGTGTGTCAGCAAAATCTACTTAAATGTATAAAGTATAATAAAATGGCCTGCAAGGGTTATATTTTAGGCCTATTGATTATTGTAATTACCATTTTTATTAGTTACTTATCAGAAGTATTGTATATGCTGTTTGGTAAACTCATCATACCTAAAATCCAAATGTGTAAAGTAAGCTTTCAAATAAATATAGTGGAGTATCTGCCTCTTGTAGAGTAGAAGTTCAGTACAAAGGGGCATGAAAGGAAAAAAACATAGTACCTCAAATGTGTACTTAAGTACAGTATCTGACTACAGTACTTTTGACCACAGTCTCATGAGGATGTTGCATTCAGCCACTGCATATCAAATTAGTAATATGTTAACATGTTAGGGGTTAACAGGCTTTACAGAAGCTTCTGGGGTTTCTGTGATCAATCTTCAATGGGATCATGTGATCTCCTCCATTTGGTTTTCAACAAGAGCTGGCAGCCTGTAGGAGATGTCAGGAAATGATCTGTGACAGCAGCACATGTTATCCACTTGTAAAAACTCTCCCCTCTGTCTATCCCGGCCCTTCCATGAATTTGTGATTGGGGAAACAACTCTAGGCTCATCCTGATTTATTTCCAAAAATCTGGCTTGGCTGTTAATTCATGTTTGTATGTGAGTTGCTACAACTCGATGTGTTCTGCTTTGTCTGCTTTTTAATGTGCTGTTTCTGCAAGAACATGGCAGGTTTCCTCGAACAGTATAATGAAAAAGTTGATCCCAGGGGTTGGAGGGGAAGCAGGAATATTTTGCGGCTGATAGGTAGTCTGACAAAGGTCCTAAACGTGTGCTGCTGTGGGATGCTTGTGAGAAATCATCCACAGTGTTAGATGAGCAAGGATTCGTCACCTTTCAGTTTACCAGTTTTTCAGGAAAATTGCAAAAGAAAGTATAACACAATCCAGAACTTGAATGAGTCACTGAAATATTCCAGTGAGGAATAATTCAGGCCTTCACTACGTCATAGGTAGCTGAAATACAACATTACAAGTAATTGAAAACATGTGTGACTAAACCGCCTTTTCTCTCCTTTAGAGCTCATATCAACGACATAGAGAACATCCTCCCCTTCCTCTTTCTGGGTGCTATCTACTCCATGACGGGACCTGGCCTGGCTGTGGCCCGCCTTCACTTCCTGGTCTTCTTCTTAGCTCGTGTGCTGCACAGCGTTGCCTACCTGTTTGCCCTGCAAGCGCCAACCCGCTCTCTGGCCTACATCGTTGCACAGATACCTTGCATCTCTATGGCTCTGCAGATCCTAATGGCAGTCTGGCAGTATGCCTAAATACCCAGAAACGAGGGACTGAACTAGAGGTGCTGTTCTTGCTGGAAAGATCGGTTACGATCTTTTATAGAAAAAGCACAAGGAGGATACCGGAGAGGCCTCCTGTGGGGGAAAAACTTAAAAGACAATCAGTGAGAGTGCAATATAAGGTGTGCGATTATGCAGCAGATGGGTTTTGTGAGATTTTGTCAGTATTTTTATTGTTTTATTTACAATGTTGAAATGTGAGAATGTCCTAAAAGTTCTTTGAAGTTGACATCCTGTACTGTACTATTTGAAATGGAAATGAAGGTTGTTGCCCGCTTTTGTCTGTTTTAACCAGGTTCTGTTGTTATGAACTGATGGAAACTAACTAACGAAGAGTTGTAGACATTTAGTTTAAGCGACATTGGAATATTTTCCAGCACTGCACTGTACGTTCATCCCTGCCCCCCTTTTGTGTTCACACACAACACAGACCGCCATGGTGTTGTATCCTCCATGGCTTCATCTGTTTCCCGTGTGGATATTCCATCTGTTTTTATTATGTTTGTTTGCATAGTGTGTTTAGCAGAAGCGTAATGGATCCTAACATGACTGATAATACCACTCAGTGAAATACAGTTTGATGCTTTTACTGTGTGAGGTGAACTTCTCTCTAGTTAACTACATTTTAATCAAGAAGAAAGGAATCCTAACGGCCTCGAAATAAATGTCGCAACAACCTGTAGAAAACAAAAATGGTGAAATGATTTTCATCTGTGAAAACGTAGTTTGAGGCTTTTGTAATAATTTATTATTCAATTTAATGTATACAGATGCATTTTTGTAGGCAATAAAACAATTGACGCATGAAACAGAGCTATTGTGTTGACTTTGCCTGGTCGTGGAGAGACAGTAAAGTGTTCTTGTTTTCAGGGAACCGGGCTCACTTTGTGTGTGCGTTTTTGTGGGAAAGTGAGATGATTCAAAAGTCTGTGGCAAAGCTCCAGCATTCCTCCCTCTATTATGTAAGACCTTTGGCTCTATGCTGTGTTCACTGTCGTATCCTGAGGGGCCAGGAGGGATCTGGGTAGCCTTACAGACGTACTGACAGTGTTCACAGCGATTACAGCATGTGTGAACTTCATGTCAACCTGCTCGAATCACTTGTTCCATCATCTTTTGTTCAAATGTTTTGTGTTCTATCACATCATCCTTGGCGTGGTTATTTCTCACACCTGTTAGACTTGTATTTTGCTCCAACCATTAATTTCCCAGCCCTAAGATGATGTATTTCCAGTAATCCCATTTCCAGTGTTGACTAAACTTAAAATTACAGAGCTATAATGTTTCTTGATTATGGAGTTTTTATTCCAAACAAAAGAAAAATATCAAACCCTGAGAACATGGGAGGACTGGAAAAGCCTAATCCTTTGCTTTGAGTGGGCGAATGAGCTTTAGCAACACATATGATCTGGGTGAAACATAAAGCTAATGACATGTCAGGGACAAAGCGGTGTGGCTATATCCGGCATGCGTCAGCGGTGGGGTCGTCTCAACTTGCCTATAGCTTCAGGGTAAAAGGAAATAAGGCCTCTTTCCTACACGCCTCACTTTTCCTCTCTTTGCCGCTCTCCTTTTCAGCCGATGAACTCACTGGGTGAATGAGCTGTGAGGCCTGACTCACACATACAACAATCACAGTTGCTGAGTGATGCAAAGTTATGGCTAGATACAAATATTAAGGTTTTCTTTTTTTTTTTCATGCCAGATTAGGAGATGGCTCTTACAAAAGTGCTGTTTTCGTTATGTCTGGCTGTTCCCCGTCTAGGGATCAGTTTTTATTGGCTGGGACAGTCTGTTGTTTCATGGGTGTAGGCTTTAGGAGAGTGAGAGTGAGAGAACGAGAGAGAGAGAGATAGAGATAGAGAGAGAGAGAGAGAGAGATACTCCAACAAGTACAAATCTTTTTTTTTTGGTGATTTCATCAAAGTGCAGTTACATAATTATTTATCTCCACCTTGTGGTCACAATCAGCTCTAACAGCGTATGAAGAATTCAGAGTATTTACTGAAGAATATACTATAATTGATATTTTTATGATAATGTAACAAATGCATGAGCGTATTATGAAACAATGGGCCCCTGGGCACTGACATGCAAAAGGACCCCACCATCTTTCCCACACAAGCAGACACACAGAGTTTATAGTTGTGAAAGTCTCTTTTTGCTGTTGTTTTGTGTTTGTAGACCTCCTTTTTGACTTTATTGTTCACCTTGGAATGACAAAGAGAACACAGCATGGGTTTAAGGCCCATCACAGCTTTAAAACGTATCTATGAAATGTTTAAACCAATTCTGAAGGCAATTAAGCCGGCCTGCTGACGCAAGGACTGGTGACGTAAAATGTTCTTACGCTTGTTTTTGAAATCCTGGCAGCAGAATTTTTAACAAGCAGCAAACAGGAAAGATGTTTTTAAAAGCAAATCTGAACTACTGATATAATGTGTATGTCTAAACTAAGATTGCAGTCAATCAGCGATGCAGTTGATGCTTTTTACCTGTTAGCTTTCCCATATCAGGCTCCCTTTCAAACATTGCATTTGGTGCCTGATTGCATCGAACACCTCTTCAGACACCTCAGACACAATGTTTGGCTGTTAAACGTGTTCAAAGCATCAGCCTGCATGAACCGCTCACACCTACACCTCAACTCTGTGCGTTGTTGCTCCTGGTGCACAGTAGGAAACAGATTATTTCAAAATGAATAAACAACTCTGTTGGTAGTCCCACGGTGTTAGAGGTTTCCTGGGTAAGATATATGATTAGTGAAATAGAAAGTCAAAAACAAACAAACAAGAAATTGAGTTCAAATTTCATAAATATTTATTACATATCAATGAACAGAATCGACTACTTTCACAGCAGTGGTCTACAGCACTTGTTTAAAATAATTGCTCAAATAATAATCATAATAATAATATAGTTTAGTTTCATTTGAGGCCACATTTGATACACAAACATTTACAAGTAGTACTTGGCATTAAAAACAATGGCGATACAATATTTTAAGACACTTGGTGTTTTTTTTGTTCATTTTCTTTCATTTTGATATCACAGAGGTTCAGCAACAGTCTAAACAGTAAATATAGATTAAAAATACAAAAACAAACAAACAAAAACAGTGAAAATGCCAAGGGGAGGTAGGAACAAAGAGTACTTGACAGAAATACAAGAGAAATAGGAACATCGTACGTGGGAGAAGCAGTGTCACAAACTGTAACTGACAGGCATCCCCCTCTCACCCAGAGTAATAAACACTAGAGTACCTTTTTAAAAATACCCCCCTCCCCCCATCCTATTCTTCTTCTTCCCTTTTTAGTCTTACCGAGTTGCGTTATAGTGTTCACACTGAGACAGGCAGGAGAACAGAGGAAAGGAGTGAGCGGTAAAGAGAAGGAGGCTCATGCAAGATCTGAAGGCTGCCGCATTGTGAAACCACCACAGAGGCGGTCGCATATACCCACATCAGCATAGTTAGAACCACTGCTCCCAGTTTGTTGAGCTATCTATATAGTACCAGTGGATCCCCAAAGCTTTGTCTTTGGGCTTTACTGACTGCCTCACGAACATTTTCCCCGTTTCATGTTAGATTCAGGGTCGTCAGTGCGAGTTCCTCAGCACTCAGTTTGAATGAAAAGTGCATTTATACTTGAGAATTGAGGAAGAAATTGCGGTGGGATTGAGTGCTGGCTGCTGAAAAGCTGACGCTAAGCTGTATTGCTGGGAGCTGGACAGCATTGCCTGAAAAGCTGGCGGGTGGACTGTAATGCTTGATGGATGGCTGGGAGCTAAAGCGCATTGCTGGTTTAACTTTAAATGAAGGACCATATGAATGAAGTATGAAGAGCTGTAATAGTAGAAAGGGCTGCAAATATAGTGTAAGCAGTGAAAGGTGTGGAAATGAGTGTTTTTTTATACATTTAAAAAAATGGATGCATGTGTTTTTCCATAGTTTATGTGGACATGCGTGTGTGAATTTGTACCATTGAAAGGCCATGACTTGCTTTGTGTGCCAGTTCAGAATACAGTAGCTGCAGTTGAAATAGAAGTTGTGTTAAAATGTTATTTGACATCCTTTTCCATCTACTGCAACACCACATAGACCAGAAAAGCACAAGTCTCATCAGATAATCCCAATCAGCTGTGTGTTGGTATCTGCAGAGTGACTCCTGGGTCAGAAAGTTCAGTAAATTGAAATTAAGACTCAACACTTAAACTCAAAGATTGTCAAAAATGTGGAAATACTGTAGAGTGCTTCTTTCTGTTTTTGTTCCTGAAATTTCTTGTCTCGGTTAATATTGGAGTCAATGGGGCAATTGGATGGAAGTCCCGTTGCTCATTGCGCAAACTGTTTGAGCCAGTTTTCTTCAATATTTCAATTGTTTGAAAGATGACACATTTTTCTATGTTTCGTTGAAAAAGGATGGTGTATGAAGAGTGAAACCTATGGGAGGATGAGGAAGTTGAAGAGTCTAACAGCTCAACCCCACTCTGCTTGTGATGTCACCCACTCTACCTCTGAACATTGCATCCCTTCATTTGAATTTGGGAAAAATTGCTGAAAAACTCGTAATATTTTGCAACGTATGAAAGATATGAATACTACAAGCATTCCGACAATGTCCTCAAAGGGTTGAACATGTTTAAGTTTGAAGGACGTTGAACTGTATTGAAGTAGTCGTGCCAAAAAACGAGGAAGAATACGATGAATACAACTATCTAAATTCAGAATGTTTTCTGCGTGCAGCTGAAATGGGTTTCTGTGCAATATAATCAATATATTTTGAATTTATTTCTACATTGTTTCAATATTGGGATCACTTCCAAATTCATTACTTCTCTGCACCTTAGACGTACAAAAAAAAAGAAAAAAAAAGACACTTAAAACACTTCATACTTAATGTTATTTTAGTGTAGTTAGTGGTCTAGACAGTTTCAGCTTTGCACATTTCAACAAAATTTTGCTTTTATCTTTTCAGTTTACGGCAATATGCTGTGTTTTAACTTTAGTTTTCACGTATTACTTGTAGTTTTGCTCTTTACTGTGCCATCGTACCTCGGCTCGGCACACACGCCAGTCTAGTAAAACATCCACACTTCTGCCGTCTCAGCTTGTGGTTTGCTTTAGGAGGCTATGTTTGGTATGATGTCGCAGATGTTATGGTTTCCAAAGAAGCAATTTCTTTTGGAGCATAAGTCACAATAATGTAGCAAAGTCAGGTCATGCAGTTTTAAGTACGTCTCATTCTTATGAGAGAGGGCCTCCGATAAGTCAATTCATCCAAACTGAATGGAGTTGTGGGACACCATATAGTAATCTAATGAGGACTACAATCATGGCTGCTACTGTCAGACACCAGAATATGGTGGCTGTTGGAGATGTAGTTCAGTGGAGGATGCTGGGAAATGGCACTTGTGGGAGACTTTGCCTCCAGCCCTGTCTACCTGTATACTGTGAATCGGGAGAATAATAAGGAGTAAGATATGCAGAGAGCATAAAACATCATACTTTCACTAAATATGGGAATAAAATGGATTTTTATAATATATCTATAAATATACATCACGGGCATGACAGGCATACATGCTTGTCACTGTGTATGCATTTTCATGTATAAACAGATGTACACACACATACGCATATCATACAACATTTGAAAGTGGATCGGAAATAATCACATAATATACAACACATTAAGCGCTAGCAACTTCAGAGGGCATTGTGAACGCAGAGATTTTTGTCGTGCCTCGGTGCGCAGATTTACATTCAGTTTGTGGTTTGGTAACATTATCTCAAGGCTGTTGCAGAGCTCTGAATAAACCACGGCATCTTACATAACCTCACCGCCTCTTTGGGTTATTTTCTGCGGGGCAACACAAACACCCAACACGCAGTGGCTTGATGGTAGGCTCGCGAAAAACAAACGCACACAGACATCTTCTAACTCCCGCTGCACTCATCTCGTCCGATGAATGGGGGAGACCCAAGATACAGGGATATGAACAACAACAACAACAAAAAAAAGTTAAGAAAAAAGAATTCAACAAACTAATTTAAAAACAAACCAACTAAAACAATAAAATAATGGTGACAGTACAGGAGTGGGTGGGCAGAGAAGTGCACGGTGGGATTGTCTTCACTTTAGGTCCAGGACATCTTCTTCGAAGGATGTGGACAGGGCAAACGCGCTGGCGAGAGGCGGGCTCTCCTCTCGCAGCACCGCCTTCTCTGGCTCGGCCTCCGAACTGGGCGAACAATGCAGCTGGACGTCCAGGTCTGTCTCAGCAGACTCCGAGGCTAACCTGTGATTAGAAACGTATGACTCAAGCTCGTGTCACATTCTGCAAGTGTTAAATGTGCGATGTTGCTGCTGATGAATCTGATACCTGTCGCTGTTTGTTGACGTCAGTGCTCGTGCTTTAGGGTCTTCCTCCGTGTTCTTCTTGCTCATCTTCCTCTGTTTGACTGTTCCACTGTCCGACTTTCCACTTGGTTCCTCTGTCAAGCCTTTGTTTGTGTGAAAATAAAATGTAAAAGGAGTAAAAGGGATAGTTCGATGTTTGGGAAATACGCTTATTTGCTTTCTTGACAACAGTTACATGAGAAGATCGATACCACTCTCATATCTCTCTACAGTATAAGTCTACAGCTAGCAGCTTAGCTTAGCATAAAGTCTGGAGAAAACAGCTTGCCTACTAACACCTCTAAAACTCAATAATTAACAGTATTTCTTGGTTGTTTAATCTGTAAACAAGAAGTATCCCCTTGCAGTATGCCGTTGCCAACATAAAATACATTTGTTATTTAGTGTTTCTTTAGTTCTTACCAAGCAGCTCCTTGCGTGTGCGGCTGGCTATCTCTTTGATTTCCATGCGGGACAGGGACAGCGAGTGCGTGGCGGAGATGAGGGTAGATGGGGGCACCATGGGGGGGGCCGGCGTCGTCAGCACCTTGTTGACCAGAGGGGACTTGAGGGGCCTTTCGATGCTTCGGCCCACCAAGTTACACAGAGGGATCTTGAACATGTGCTTACATGCCGATTCACCTGGGAGGAAGAAACCCAGAGGAAGAGAAGGATGGAAGAAGGAAAGAGCAGTAGATAAAGTCAGAAAGAAGGAAGGAGCCACGTGACATGAGATAAAAAGAGCAAAAATGCAGCGTCAGAAAAGAGACACATATAAAGGGTGAGAAACACGTGGCAGTTAATGAGAAATGCATGAAACTCTTGACCTGAAGGACGATTTTTGCACGCATTAACTCATTAGCTACGGAAATGTAGTTCTTTCTAAAGTATATCCTTTTTCGACTTTCTACGCAGCCACTGAACAGTCATTGTTAATGCATTTCATTCCAAAATGACATTACTTTTGCACGATAATGCACTTGGAAGAAGTGACTATTTGAAAAAGTTTTGGGAAAATACATATATTTGGTTTCTTGCACAACATTAGAGGAGAAGATAGATCCACTCTCATGTCATGGTCTGACTTCTGTCCATGCAATGGCCATTTCTTTTTCACAGAAACAGTTGCTTACTTCCATGACTCTAATGTAGCTAATGCTCATACATGAGAGGCATATGAAGTATCTTCATGTTTACCGGACAGACATGAGTGGCATCAACCATCTCATGTTATCCTATTCCTTTGAAGCCCTCTTTGGTGGTGCATTCAAGGACCATCTTAACATTCACCATTGCTCTCATGTGCTGCATCGATGGAACATTAAGCTCACAACAGAAATAGCAAGCAAACAGACTGTAGATGTAGTTGAAAGTATGATGCGAACTGGCGATTTTATGTAGTTAAAAAGAGTAATTGAATGCATCATTAGAGAGGGTTTTCAAAACAGACACTGATTGCAACAGCGTCAAATAAAAATAAAAGTGTTTATTGCAATGGATAACGAACCTCAAGCAAGTATCAAGCCTCAGAGTCAATTTTCATAGCACATGAAAGGTAAACAACGGCTGCCTAGAATATAAGAAATCAATCTAAAAATATGCCAAATGACCTTTTTGTGACTTCGGATCTCGAGGTTGACGAGCTGCTACAATAGAACCAAACCTCCATTTTCAAACGAAGACACTCTAAAGCAATTAATAGTCCTATTTCCTGAAACAGCATGTGATCTTAAAATGAATCATCCTTACTACAGAGAGCTAATGCGATAGTTGTAATCATTTATAGCAGACCATCTATTATTCAGCAGAGACTATAAACGCTTAAAGTCTGCTTGGGACGCATCAAATGGATGTTTGGGAGTTTTTCAAATGGCACAATCTGCAGCGTGTCATCCTGCAGTGCCCAATTGTGCCATCGGGGAGCAGTATTGCAGTTCAGCAGCTCTTCTCCATCGAGGCAGGCTGACAGTAAGTAACATGGATGCGAGTGAATCAATGTGGAGGCTATGCCGCACAAAGAGGTCTCATCTGAAATGTCAACGGGTGAGAGGCGAGTAAAGGGCCGCGGAGAAAAATATAGGGCCACTGCCGATGTCTGACAGGTACACAGTGTTACTGTTGTTACAGATCGGTTTTCTCTTGTAGCAACAAAGAATGGCAATAAACCAAAATGTGGAGGGAAAGCATGCAGTTATTTTAGAATATATAATCACAGAGATCAATATATTCCACATGCGTTTCTGGACCAGGGGAAGTGTCGCACCGCATCACACTGGCGAATAATTAAATATAAATATAGGGGGTGTTTTCAGCACTAATTGAAGTCAAATTCTCCACAGCAGAGAGATGTTTTGCTGCAGGTCGTTGGCGTGTCTTTAAGCCAGTGGAGGGAGGTGGCGGCTAGCAGCCGCATCAGTAACAGCATCTTGTTCACATTACTGGTGCGATTACATCAGATGAAACCCTCCCCAAGGAGCAGATACGGCAGGCGCACAGGCAGTTAGCGGATGGGATTTTTGTCAGCACCCCTTCTACCTCTCTTCCCCATCTGAATCCCCCCACCCCCGATTGTGGCACTGCTATTTGGACTAGCACTTTGGATCGAAGAGAGGGCTGACAAAAGTCTCCATGGCGACAGTGCAATCTGTAAATCATGCTGCGGCAGACGTGTCTTCTCCTTCTCTCGTTCCCTTTTCTCCCCCCTTCTCTCCCAACCTCATGCTTATACACCAACCCCTCCCTTCTCTCTTGCACTCATGCATACCTTTTCTGCACCTCCTCCTCTCTTCCCCCTGTAATGTTAACCCCCCTCCCCCTTTGATCGACATTATCTCCTCTGCTTCACTTTTTTACTTTGCACTCCATCACCTTTCCCCCCCCCTCTCTCACTCTGCCCTCGCACTAATGCTTTTTTATTAGTTAAGACAGAAGGGGGGGATGGGGAAGACATAATGTTCACTTAACATTCAAGTCAACATGCCACCTTGGAGCAGACAGGGTGGTACACTCTGGGAGCATCAGCATGTTAGTGGGGCAGCATTATGAGCATCATTTTCATGAACTGAGGACGAGTTGTGGGAGAATCCTGCAGTACCTTCGGCATCCTTAGACATGTACAGGGAAAGCTTGGTACCATAGGGGATCCGTATAGAATCTGAACCAGGGATGAAGAAGAGGGTTACACAAACCAAACACACACGCACACGCACACACAGTAGGTTCTCTGTTAGGTTAGACTCCCAGTGATGCAGAATCATATGAATAACCAGCTAAAACAGGAAAGAAAATGAGAATCCATTTGAGAGAAATGATTACTCGAACCGGCCTAAAAGTATAAAGCCCGTCCTCGGCTAATTGAAGCAGCGACAGTCAAACCCTCCTCCCTATTAGCCTTAATGGGACCTGTAAATACCCGCTCCCCGCTTTGATGGTGCACACAAGCAGAACATTTCAATAATTGTTCTCCTCAGGCTTTGTCCTTCCCCGCAACCGTCAGAATTACAGGACGACTTTGTGTCCCTGTTAACAGCTAGAAAGTCTAATGAACATCGAGAAGTTGACATTGCCATGGTCCATCAGTCTGTTGTGCTGAACGACAAACCTGTGTGTCGTTAACCACAGCTGTGCATCCCGCAGGTCCGCTGTAAGGGTCGGGCAGACTCCGAATGGCCAAAGACACAATGAAAGATGGAGAGAATAGTGGGATGCAGGGAGCAAGGTAGGGGCTCGTATTGATCCTCAATCATCCTTGAAAGCATTCTCCGCCTCTGAGGACACTTATTGTGTGCCTTGAATGGTGGGAGGTATGTGGATGATTAGTCCGTTCTTCTTTTCGTAATTTACGTCTTATAGGAATTGAAAGGATCTATTTTTAACTAATTACATCTACATAGGTGCCAGACATTTTCCATATCATTCATGTATAGATGGAATTCCTTACGTATGTTGCAACCATGGATCTCCTTTTATTCAACTATTTTATGAAAATCAGTTTGCAAGAGAACCGATGACAGTATTGCCTTGATGTTTGTCAACGTTGTGTTATCATTGCATTAAAGTTAGGTCATATTGTACTGAAATAAATGAAGGCAAATGGCTGCATGGCTGGAGATTAATCTGAAATATGTGGAAAATAGACAGCTATAATGTTAAGTCAACAAGATTCGTAAGTAATGGGCTAACATATTTAAAACTATCAGCAGGGTTGTATACGTTAGTAAAAAAAGAAGCTATGGAAAGGCATTTTCATGTTTGTTATGAAACTAAACTATGTCAGTATTGCACCTTGAGAAAGGATGACGTAGTAATGAGGGGAAAGATGAATGCAACTGAATGTCTTGGCCTAGAAAACTACACATGATTCGACTGTGAGAAAGAAACAAGTCTGGAGGAGAAAGGCTGCAGCTTCAATTAACCATTCTGCTGAGACAGGTTTATGTAAATGGGTCTCTAGGCTAAGATGGCAGCATCCAAAGTCAAACAGACCTGCAGGCAAAACTGAAATTTTAAAACTGAAGCTACTACTATCAACATCCTCTGGTGCTTTCGCTGAGCGGGGGGGGGGGGGGGGCTTACCATCGCCGAGCGGCGAAGGGAACACAGGCATCTCATAGCCGGTGGGCGTCTGCGGGGAACTCTGGGAACTGGTGTCTCTCGAACTGCAGTTGGAGGCTGAGCTCACCGGGGCCGAGGAAACAAAATATATGTCCGACTGTGGGTGACACAGAGAGGAAGTGAGGTCAATTCAGAGACATGACAAACATGTAAAGATGTTGGGAAATACTAAAGGAGGAAAATGGGACAGAAAGGATAACGGTGAAACATGGGAAAAAAGAAGGAATAACTATTTGTGCACTGTGGTCTTTTTTAAATTATCTATGTGTATGAATAATGAGTGTATTATTGATTTCTAACCATGCAGATTGCCAGTCATATTTCCCACCAGGGTAATAAAGACGGATTGAAACGAGAAAGCTGAGACAGCTACTTCTATAATACAGAGTGAGGCCTTCTAGCACTCATAATCTAAAAAGGACTCCTGCTAAAGTGAAACCCAGTAGGTACATATGTAGTTTTCTACTTGCATACATAAAACAATGAAGTATGAATGAAATATATCATTTACAAAGTGGCAGTGCACAACAGCAGGACGGGGACATGATATTGTGTTAGCTCTCAATCATACTGACCCGCGAGGCAGCCAACTGTAGCTCTGGGACCACTGCCGTGTACACAAGGTTACCATTAACGACCAGCCGGATCTCAATGGAGTCCGTTGTGAAGGCCAGGATGTAAGGAAACGCACAGACTGCAAAGACACCATGAGCACATGTTAAAACCATCGGCAAATGATCAAAAGGGGACGGAATTTGCTCAACACCCACAATACGAGACAATTGATAGTTTCACCCAGTAGGGCATTCTGAAACGCCATTATTACGCAGAACAATGAGAGACACACACACACAACACTCAGGCTGAGCATCTCTCGTAGGGGCTCCGGACGCTTCCCCTGTTCTCCGTTTGTACAACAAGGTGAGAGCGAACTGCGCCGCCGCGTGGGAAGCCAGTGTCGACAAGTAAAAGAAGAATCTCTTAAACCCTAAAAAACAAACCGTCTCACAGGTGCAACTTGACAGGAAGAGGAGCGTTAAAGAGCTTGGACATGATCAAGCAATTATTAGAGTGAGTGTGTCTCTCTCTGCGTGTGTGTGTGTGTGTGTGTGTGTGTGTGTGTGTGTAAGGAGGGCAGCAGCATGTTGTTATCAACTGGGTCGGGTTACAGGTTCAATACCAATTGTATTTGCTTTTCATCACCTTATGCATTAATAAAAACACACGCACGAACACACACACACACACACAAATAATCACGTCGGCCAATGGGATGCTTGCGGCTACACATGGTGTTTCCATGGCAACAGCAAGCTCCGGCCAGGCCGGCGGTAACCTACCGATAGCATTGGGCATCTGGTTCCAGCTGAAGTGGAAATCGGAGGTGTTGGCCTGGATCATCGGTGTGGAGCCGTTAAATGGACAAACTTTCTTATAGTAGCAAATGTCTGTAAGGACACACAGGAAACAGGTTCAACGTTCTAATTCAATGATTTAAATCCTTCTGCTTTTGTCTGTGTTTTATTGTAACTTTGAATGCGTAACTGTAAAATTTGAGATCTATTTGTCATATTATCCAGACATAAGAAAGCTAAAGTAGGTGGCTACGTCTGTGCTTTGATTTGTATTCCAGAAAGGTGCAGTGGCTGAGAGCAGACATCAAAGCTCAGCTTTGACAACAGAGACCTGAATCAAATAATGTCTGAAATATCCAGAGTTCAAGGAAGACTCACAGTTGTAACACAGCAGCAGACCCGCCTCCCCGTCTTCATACACATCAATGGCTGCTACAAAATTTACCTGCAGGCAGAGACAAGTCAGTTTAGGAGAATTGTTTCAACGAGATCCAAAGGTCAAGTCAGGTTTTTGAGAAATAATGTCAGGTCACATACCCTCAAGACAATATAAAAGATACACTTCTTCAACAGTCTGTTACATTTTAATTTACTCTTTCAAAGGAGAAATTGTTAAAGCAGAAAAGGATGTCTTATTATAACAGCTGTTCATCCTCCAGCGTACTCAGTCCTTCCCCAGCTGGTGGCTGTGAATGACAACGTGTTGATTCACCCACAGGCAGCCTGTTATTCAGCAGGTAAATAAAGCCACTAATTGTTCTAGTCTCAAAATCAGAAAACCATTAAAAGGTTTGCATGCGTGTATGTACGTGCACGTGTTGCCTCACCCTGTTGGCGTCGACGTGATGTAGCCGGTAGGCATCGCCAGTGCTCTCATTGATCAGGTCAAACTGATGCTTATAGGCCACACAGATCATGTTGTCATTTTCCCCCGTCGGCCCATCCACCAGCGCCATCACCACCGGCGGGTCACACAGACAGATCTCCTAATGAGTGGATGGTACACAATAACCTCAGTGCTCACACAAACACACGTATACGTATATAGTACAACATGAAAAAAGGTAATAATGCTGTCTTTTCAATCTTTTTTATAATACTATTATTTTTCTTTGTCTTACTAGTATTTAAGTAGATATAAAAGCTCTATGTTTTGGGCTACAACTTGATCCCCGTTTTTTAAAATGTGTTGACATTTTTGCAAATTGGCACCATTACAAGTATGCCAAATTAGCTGTTAGTACTTCCTTTCTGAAATGTAGGCATGAATATGCAGACATACAGTATATCACTGCGGGATAAGTTTGGGATTAGAAGGATGTTTTTCATGTCTTTTTTCAGATCTATATGCAGATTTATTCAGTTTATTTGACATTGGAGATGATGATATCCTCCGAAAGTATAAGTCACACTGCATCTTAACATCTATCATTAATATCATGTCTGTGTGCTCAGACTTGATGTAATATAATTTTGACTTTGAGAAGTACGAGGTAGATTTATGCAAATTGGGGCATTTAAGACACTTAAAAAAAAAAATAAAATTTTTTTATTTAAAAGTAAGTTAATATTCTATTATCCTACTCATATTTTTATTCACTCATGTCGAGTTTGTTGTACCCGTATGTACTGAAACTCCTCCACCGGTGACTCTGCTGAAGGGGCGACGGCGCTCAAGCCTTCGAACCGTGGATGTTTTCTGGTGATGAGGAGGAGTTTGTTCCTGATGGCAGCCACAATCCTCAGCTCTGAGCCGTGGTGAGTGTTGATAGAGTACAAATGACAGCCTGGGACAAAGAGGAGGAGGAGTAGAATGGGGGCAGAGATAGAGAGACAGACATTACATTGGACATGTGCTGTGCTGTGGGTGGTGTTCCCTGGCAGCATCCCACAGATCAATGCATCCACCACAGACAGCTGGCATGACACTAGCAGCAGGTTAAAGGTTGTGTGTTTGCACTGCCAAAAGGACGTTCAGAAAGGTCACGATATCCCGCTTTAGGCTGACCTGTCTAAGTGCATTAGGAGGCAATCTCTTCAATGGCCGGAATGAGCAGGAGAAATAATTGCCGCAAGCAAAAACAAAATGTTTGAATGTACATACGGCCACCTGACTGTTGTTTTAAAACAGCTGAATCAAAGTACATTTTTCGAGATTACAGTATATTTTTCTTGTTTGTTGTAGGGATTCCTTTGCAGTGTGTGCAACAATACGCTTATTCTTTCGTTCCTCTCGTTGTACCTTTGGTTTTCTCCAGTTTATTTTCCCGGCTGTCACACTTGCTTCTGACGAGCTGCTTCTCCTCCAGGCCCCTCTTGAGCGTGCTGAGTCTGTACACATAGAGGCGAGCGTCCTTCCCTGGAAACGAAACAAAGGCCACTTCTGTTTTGCATGAAGGTTACTCTTAATTTGCAGAGCCTTTTTTAGCATCCTCCCACGGCCAGACAATAGTGTTGTGCTGCAGGAGGATTACTAGAAGGCATCTTAAGGCTTGTGCTCTCTGAAGCTTAATCAAAGCCCACACACAGTTGTGACAAATGTTTGCGCCGCCGTCACATAATCGCCATCAAAACAGAGTCAACCCTGTTTGTCAATATTAGGGTTAGCTAATCATCTGCCGGGTAATTAGTTACATGCTCTTCTGCTCGAGGCAAACACGAGAGGGATCCTACAGCTGTTTGTTAATACACAGCGACTTCTTGTATGTAGTTTTTGTGTTTTGCACTTGTAGCTCTGTATGTTTAATTCGTGATTTGTGTCTCTCTGCATGTCCGTCTATAGCCCTCTCCTCTCTGAGTCAATCCAGTCCTGCAGCGCACACACACACACACACACACACACACACACACACACACACACACAC